ACTCCAAGGTCTTGTCAATCTCATGAAATACGAGTGTTTATCAAATGAGGAAAACAATGATTATAAAATTTATTAAATAAACAAACGTGTAAGATACAGCAATGAAATTTATACACCTAATTATTAGATCACAGTTTTGGACAATGATGATTTGAATAATAGACGGATAGAGCACGCTCGCGCTTGATATTGTTAAGGTCTTAAGTTACTCGCGCTAAAATGGTAGTATGACAAATTGTGTTCTGCGATTTATCATTGACCATTGACGTCCTGAAATGTCTTTCTCCATGTCGTACAATAATGTTATTTGATATTTGAGCCATTTGGCTGAAAAAGGAGAAATTTTAGATTTGCACTAAGGAGCTGTAATACAGGCATGTTAAATTGCATGGTCTTAGAACAGTACTGAAAAACTACTTATTGGGATCGAAAAAATGTAATTGATTGATCATTAACATATTTACATAACATTCGAGTCTTTGTGGTTTTCTAATTTTGATTATTATTATAAACTTTAACGTTTACAAACGTTAAAAGTTTTAAGCAATGGGAAAGAATTAAAACAACAACAATAAAACTTTACATAAAACGCACTTTAATTGTAGTCTATTTTTTATATTTCTGATGTTAAACTTAAATTGTTGTTTTTCAAAAATTTCCACAAAACTATTTTTTATTTTGAAATGTTAAAATTCTTATTATAATTCTATTACTATATTTTATGGTAAACATAGGTGCTCATAACCAGGGCACCAAAATGTTTTTATAACTTTGTAATTGTAACGATAAACGAAGAAAACAGATAACGGATAACGAAACAGAAACGAAACACGATTTAAAACTACTTATAACATCGAATAACGTAACAGAAAAGGATTAACGATTGAAACATAAAAGAAATTTTCATGGAAAAATATTCATAACTCTCAGTAAAATAGATTTGGAACATACCTAGTTATTTTTGTAAAACTGACTTAAATTACTAAGTAATCCAAATAAAAAAAATATAAAAGAAACAGCAACACATTTATCAACTAATAAAATATAAATAATCTTTACCAATTATAATTTATAAATATGCTTTTTAAAATTTCATTGGATATTGTCGGCGCGGAACCCGTATGGCCTGCCTTATCAAAAATAATTTCGGTGAACACCGATGAAACATTCGTAATACACCAAAAATAAGTTATAAATTGTCAATAATTTATTGTTGTACAACAAATATGATTGCTTCATTTATGAGTTATGAGTTATGAGAATTACGGTAAATATGATCAATGTATAGTTCTTAATATTAAGTTTAATTATGTAATTATTGGTTTTTACATAGATTTTTAAATATTGTTAACTACATGCAACTAAATGTATTATGCTTACAACACAATCAATATTAATATATAAAGTTAAAAAAGATTTTTAATTAATATTAACAGCATGAAATTTTCATATAACTTTGTGCTAAATTTAATAAATAATAATAATTTATTGTGCAAGTTCAGCATCATACATTATGTATTATAACCAATTTATAAATTGAATTTAAAATTTCTTCTAAACTTCTTTTTCTCCTTCGCCATTCTCCAACTTTTTGGAGTCGGCCATTGTTATCCTAAACCAGTGTTTCCCAACTGGTGTTCCGCGAAACCTAAGGGTTTCGTGAGCTTGCGTGAAGGGCTCCGTGAGAAATTAAGAAAAATATAAATGGGTAATGAGAGACAAATATTAAATTTTAAGCTTTGATATGTTAATTTATAATATTGTAATAGTAATAAACAAATAAAATGTTAAGCCGTCTTGTTTTTTTTTTTTTTTTATATTAATAACAATATTGTGCCGGAAGTGTCCGATAACCCACCCATTTAAGTGAACAAAACATATGACTGTATTAATATTATATAAAAAATATTATGGTTCCATAAAACGTTCAAGCTCCTGCAAATGTTTCGCGGGTAAAAGAAGTTGGGAAACACTGTCCTAAACCTCCACTCGTCTCGATTTTCTGCACCTCCTACGCACATACCAACAACCCTCATATCATTCTAATTCATAACCTAGCATCTTTTTTCTGGTCTTCCTCTTCCTTTTTTTCCTTCAACTTTTATTTTTATAACCACTTTTACTGCTTTTGTTACCTCTCGCCTCATAACATGCTCAAATCATCTCTGTCTATTTTCTCTTATCACGTCCAATATCGACACTATGTTAATACTACCTATTACATATTCGTTCCTAATTCTATATTCCATTTTCATTCCACTCATCTATCTAAACATTCTCGTTTCCGTCACACTTATACTTTGTTCTATTCTCCTGTCAACTAGCTAAAACTTCTCACTACACTCCTGTAAAATTTACCTTTCAGCTTCATTGGAATTCCCTTATTTCATAAAACGTCCGACACTTTATATTTCTTCTTATACGAATATAATAATATGTGTTAATGAAATAAGGTATTTTAAAATTTAACAGTATGATATAACTTCATAATTTTATTCATATTTTACCGGTATTTTTTCTCACTTTTGATTAAATTTTTATAGGAGTAATTACCAATATATAAATGTCACTTTATATTTCTTCTAATGCGAATATTATACTATAAATGAATGAAATAAGGTATTTTAAAATTTAACACTATGATAAATTTCTTAATTTTATTCGTCTTTTTTCTCACTTTTGATTATATTTTTATTTTGCTAGTAGTTTTTAAATGTTAACGCTTTCATTAAATTAACATCATATACCAGTTAATACTATCTTATCCAGAATAGCTACTGTCGCTTTTGCAATGATCTAAAAAATGTATGTTACATAACATTGTTCAGTCATTTATTGCTATGAAAATAAATTATATTTACCGTATTATTAGAAAAGTAGCTGGTAAATGTGCCAAGACAAAATGATTAATCAACTGAAAAACAATGAAAATAGCTTTCAAATATAATTTTACCCAGCCAAAAGGCTCAACCAAAACATTTATCACTAAGCCCACATGAAATACGAATTACTGGATAAATTAAACGGAGAGGGATTTTTTAATCTTTACATTTTATTATGTTTAATCTCCCGGTACTATTAGAGAATATACCGTTGGAAGAACAAAAAACAATGTAGCTTAGGTGTGTTAGATATCTTCTTATCATAGAAATGTAGTCCGACAAGAAATACATTTTTTTCCCTGACTGACTTATTGATAGAGGCACTAGAAAAAACGTGCAATGTTATCCAAATTTAATAAAGCCACCCTGAAGTCCAAATTTTTACCCATACAACTTATTTTTATGGATATTAATGAAAAAAAAAAATGTTTGCTAAATAAATCAGTCTCATGAATGAACTTATGTTATGGATTAATTATGTAGCTGATAACACACGGTAAACGCTAAATTTGTTAGAAAAAACAGTTAAAACACTCATTACAGATTTATAGACTTCTTGTACAAATTGATAAGTCATACACATTTCTTAATTCTGGTGACTCTAGTATGAAAAACACATTGAGCCCAAAAACCTTATAGTACGTTGATTCTTTTGAGAATATAACAGGAAATAGCATACAAGTATTAATCTTTTCATTTTAGATAATGTTACAAAGATAATCATGTAAAATCCAAGTTTTTAAAAAAATAAATAAATTATAAATTATATTCATTAGGCTACCTTAGCGATTACGTAGTTATACTAGGTGCCCCATTTCAGCAATACGTTATATAAATAGTAATAAACAAAATACAATTTTGTTCATTCATATAATACCATGTGTTGCAACAATGTCTATTTCATATTTGTTTATTTTGTTTTTATAAAAAACATTACTTTAAAATGTATATTCATCTATATTTATTTCATGTGTGTGGTTTTCCATACAAAAGATAAACACAATTTTCTGAGAAATCTTATAGTGTGTTACAGATTTAAGAAATTATATCATTTGTAAACGGTAATGATGGTAAAAAAGATTTTTGTAATAGGTAACTGATACAAAATAAGTATAAAAATAAAGTCGATAGCTGACTCTGTAAAAAAAAAAAAAAAACGTGTATCAGCATGAATGGAGACTATTTTTTATCTTCGTGGAAAAAAAACTTGATAACGGGCTCTTAGTAATATCACGATGGAAAATATTTTTCGTTTATAAAATCTTATTAAGTTTATATTGTATAGCTATTTTAATAATAATTTGTATGAAAAATATTCAAAATATTCACCATAAAGAGAAGCTAATAATTATCTTAGGTATTCTCAATTAATATTGGGCATTCCTTAACGAATCTAATACAGTATGGATTAGCTTTATGCAAGCTTTTAGCTTTAGGCATCGTGATTAAATAATGAGTAAAATTATTTATAATAAAAAATGATCAACAACAACTAAATAAATTAGTTCCATACACAATCCTGGGAAATTGTCCATAACAAAAATAGATGGGAGGTGTATTGGATGTAATGATTTTTGGTTCGACAGCGAAACTTACACGTTTAGAACGAATGAATACATGAACAGTTTAAGTTAGAAAATATATTGATAAATCAATCAATATAGCGTATTGCAATTTTATACAATACGATAAAATATGTTTTTTGCCCATTGTGACTAACACATTAATTAATTAACGACTCTTCTGAACGTAATAACGAAAACACACGCATGTGCACCGGTTTAACTGCGGTAGTGCAATATACACATTAAACATATTCGTTTACAGAAACTATAAGTACTACACAACGACGATCAACGACGTCGTAAAACGATATAGTTGCCGATACAGTTTAACGATCTTCGACTTACAACTCTTTTGGGAAAATCGTTTTTCATTTTACTAGGATATTTTTTTTTCTTTTACTTTTCATTTACGAACTCTTATTACTCGAACGGGAATCTGATTCGATATTAAAACTATGGTTACGAACAAATACTTGAGAAACACGTTGAATGTCGTACGGATCGTATACAGTATTTTTTTTGTACAATACTCGAATATTGTGCGTTATCCGAAATGGACGCAAAAGGGACGTGTACTAAAATGAAGGACGGTGTTCGTAATAATATAAAACTACCTCCACCGTTACACCCGAGTGACCAGTGGGTTGCGATCGGAACCGGGAATTATTATAAAGGAGAATGGAATCATTGGACGATGTCCGGTTACGGAGTTTACGTTATACCTAATGGTAATTTTTGAAAACTGTGAATAAAAATGTACCATTAATGTTAATATTTTTTACGTAGCAAACGTAAAACGCTACAACACGTCCCCGTAAGTCCCTTAAGTTCTTTAAAATGTCCGTGGAAAATGAATACATACATGTTGACACCGTTAAAAAAATCAATTCAATTTTCCCCGCACTCAGCACCACAGCACCGTGTCTCATTACGAGAAAGCTGCCTATATTTGGCACCGACCATCCGACACAATCACGTTAATCGTATTGTAGTTTTATTTTAGTTATTTGAATTTATTAAATATGTGTCTGATTGTCCCATGGGTTATGTAATATTGCTTGTGATAATATATGCCGATACATTATCGCACGACGTCGTGCCGACTGCGCAAAAATTAGCTTGACCAATAATTTTTGTCGTCCGTCGAAAATCGTTCGAGCCGTATCGACCGTTCGAAAAAATTATTAGTTTTTACAGAACGATATAAGTTATTTTTCATATACCAAGGCAAACGTTTCCGAATATCATTTATAATCTCATTTAGGCATGAATTGCCAATTTTATGTTGATATTATTATTTTATTTACGCTAATCGCTGTATTTGTAATATTATTTGTATTAGTTATTATCTCGTGGTTGCGATTCATCTAGTAATATTATGATTATTTTTTTTCTTTTTTAATATTATTTAAAATTGATATACCTTTAGGTTAGGTAGCTGCTGGCCAGTCGTGCACCGACTGTATTGTAATATGCCACATATTACCAATTTAAAATAATAAAATGTAACACGTAGAAATCAAAAAATATGTATACAACAAATGCTAACAATATAACACTACATTATTATGAGTTTTTGTGTTTGTTCGTTTTGTAATTTAAATTTAATTATTTACTTATTATTGAGCATTTTATACGCACAAGCTCTAATCACAGCGTCGTTACCGAATAGATACGTTAATTTCATATTTATTTATTGCAATAGGTATATTTATTAGTTGTGCCGAACCGGCAATTTCTTATTATTGTAAATTTTTCGATTGTTTGGCCAGGAGGGCCGTAAGTATTTTATATTAGCTTGTTGACCTAAAGGAGCTATATTTTATATTATAATTTTGTGTTGCTGTAAATTTTATATTTTGTACCATAATACAATAACATATACTTACCATGCATAAATTGTTTTTATTGCATTTGTAGTTTTTTACACACACACACATACACGCATACACGCTCACTTAACACTAACACTCGCTGGAATCGCTCGGCAAACCCGTGCATTTCCTTTAAACATTGCTATCCACATATACATTTACGGCAACTGGGTGCACGGCCTATTATTGTTCATTCCCGGCCCTAAAAATACACTTCAATTTTTTTTTCTCAGTAATTTTTACGAGGGTACGTTTTGAAATACTACAATTGTGTATTTGAAAATCCTTCACTCAAAATTAACAAATTAACAAATAATCATTGGATATATCTGATTTACATTTATTAAGCTGTTTAAAATCAAAATAAATAAAATTTAATTTTTATTAAAAAAAAAAAAATTTGAAAAAATAATTTTGGTCTATAATGTATGTAATAAGATAAGTAATTATAAAAATATAATTATTTCATGGTGTATTTTAAACTTTACAATACACAATTTTCCATATTTAAGTTTTGAATACCTTAGAATTTGGATACCTATATCATACGAATGACACCGAAAAATCTCTTTTTAATATTTTTCAATCGGTTTATTATAAAATAAAAAATAAATAAACTATTTCTCACACAGTTATGACCGTTAATAAACTATGCCAACACTTGTCAATATAAACCAAATGTACGTAGGTAGTGATGCTACACTTATTAATTACCCATAAGCAGTGAAGTAAATTGTATAGTACATATTGTATAATATTGTAAAATACGTCATATATAAAAAAAGTAAAATACAAGTGGTATAAAAAAAAAAAAAAATCAGTGATAAGTGATAACAGTAATAAAACGACGGAGCATAGCCACACAAGTAACTTAGTTATTGGTAGGTGGTTGTCGATTGGCATCGATCATAGAAAAGAGATTATAAAGAATAAGCATCATTGTCCATTATAAAAATCTATTTTAGCCATAGATGATAAGACCTATTAACTTAAGTTCCATGATTCTAGTCAAAATATTTGTAAATCGTAGTGATACGTGCGATAAGTGCTAAGACATAAACTCAAGTCATAAGTCATAATTGTAGACAGTAGACCGCAGTATAATATTATACTAAATTCTATTAATTCTATTTAATTACCTACAGGCTACAAATTACAATTAATTGAAATTCTTAAACGTTAGTTATTGTTTCTTTTTATTATAGGTCGGCCTAATAATGTCTAATATTATTGATCTTACATTCTTATTACACTCGGGCAGTTATATATTTAACAATTATGTATACCATAACATTTTTGTAAAATACTGTATTATACACGTATAATGCATGTATAATACACGTATTATACAGTTAAAAAATAAAATACGGTATTTTTACATCACTATCCATAAGTAATTTGATTAGTCTTGAACACAATAAAACTATTGGTTTTGAAATTATTCATCTATAATAGTATCCCGAACGAAATACACATAGAAAATTCAACTAACCTTAAAATAAGTTCTTTCTAAATAACATTTATAAAGTTAAAAATTTGTAGAAAGACACTTAATTACATTTTCTAGATGTTATCGTATATGATTAAATCGTATGTTTAGTAGACAAAAACACATAATTCAAAATGAAAAAAGTTGCTGTTTACTACTCTTCTTACGGACATTAACAGTTTTATCTCTTGGTATATCATGGACCACCAATCTTTATTATTAGTCTGCCAATCACCATTAAACTCAATATACTTGGACGTATTAAATATCTAATTTTTTTTTTATAATTAACAATACTAATTATTTTATTTATCGACTTTCCTAATTATTTTTAATTTATAGTGAAACTTGTTATAAGTAACAGAAAAATGATACATTCATATTTTAACAATATATTTTTTCATTTCTTTATATCAGCTTTTTTTCTTTTTTTTTTTAATATAAATGAACTGCCTGTAAAAATAGTATGTAGAGTTGTAATATATATGTATTTTTAGTTGATACATTTGTAAATTCATTTGAAATTAAGAAACTAGTAGTAAAAATAGTAAAAATAAGTAAACTCATTTATTTCAGTAATGTACATTTAAAATTGGACTAATTTATGAATAATCTTACAAATTAAAATACAAAGTTGGATATTTTAATGTAAGAGGTGTAATGTGCCTTAATTTAACTTTTTTTTTTTCAAAATTAGAAATATGTTGTGCAGACTTAGAATAAAAAAAAAAATACACAGAAATATATTACTATATGCACCGGTAGCAAAAGGGTAGTATCTTGACTAACGACCCAGGGCTATCAACGATTCTATTTGTCGTTGAATTTAATAAACGTTTTTCCTGATTGACTCGATTACAGTATAATTTATTTAAGTTCCAAAGGTACAATAATAAAAAAATTGAACAAGGTCAAATCGATTTTTCAGGCACTGTCTATAAGGGCAATTTAGACGACGGATTGTTTCACGGAAGAGGCACAATGTATTACCCATCAGGATCCCGGATTGAAGGAGTTTGGAGAAAAGGCAAATGCGTCGAACGGAATTACATATTCAGCGATGGTCTCAGGTTTCAACCGAATGATTGGCAGTACTGCAAGATGCCCGACAGAAGGTACATAATATATGGTCGCTATAGACCCATAGACAATGTTGCATGTTGATAATGGAAAAAAAAAAATTTTATCTTGCCAAATTTTTTTAGGTACGTTTTTCTTTTCTTTTCTTTTTTAATGATGTATAATATATTTATCAAAATTTACAATGCCATAATATAATGCAATGCAGTTGTTAATCCCACTAATCTATGGGTTAATATTGATGTACTAGATAATTATTAACCTCCGTCATCTCTTAACTATACAAATAGACTTATAAAAAAAGTTTTCAAGCAACTTAACTGATTATATGGTACGAACCATAACACACGTTATCCCGATAATACTCATAAATTACATTGAGAACGGTAACTATGAAATAATTCATTCCAATGAACGGCAATAGGAATGCTAGTGGGGTGGTTAAAATAAAATAGTTTCCAAATTTTAAAATATATTATCGAATTTATAAAAATAAAATGTTAATTATATTTATTGTTTACGGATCTCAAAAGTGTTCTCGTTTGTTTTTAATGTATATAAACTTGAATATATATGCGACATTTCAACTTAATCGATCTCGAAAACTGATAGTTATTTTAAAATATTTGATGATATCTGTATTTATTGCATAAATGCATGGAGTGATTTCCGGGTGTGGTAGTGTTTGATGGGGTAACTGTTCATCGATAACGGGTATCTCGTCGATACGCAACGTCACGATCCAACATCACATCGATTTAGATTTTTGTACGGTTTCACCGATTTTTGCTGCAGAAAATGTTTTATGTAACTATAGCTTTTAATTGGTGTGTTAGCCGTATTATTTTTTACTATAAATCACTGCATCATCAGCTTAATTCAATAGTTATCAGGTCCCTAGCACAGTTATTTTTTGGGTTATCACGGTTTCGTGAATTTTATATATTTTCTATTATTAACTGTTATTATAATTATATATGCCTGTCTACTGCCATTTACATTAAATCAATTATTTTATAACATTTTCATTTATTTTTCTAGAAATTTTAGTTTTTGTAATGGATCTTTCGAATAATTAATAAATCATATATCTACTTGTTTAGCTACTGTGAATGTCGTACAAAGTAGAGTTCCATTTGAGACCAATTAAAATATTCTTATTTAACAGAATTCATTTTTATCTCGAAAATGATTTCCTTACCATCTAACGGAAATATAGATATAATTGATCTAATTATAAATTATTTTATAAAACATGTATCTAGCCAATAATAGATTGCTTTTATCAGTTTTTTTTCCATCTTGTATAAATAAATACAGATTTAATGTTTGAAAATATATACATGCATAAAAATATGACATAATCTTTGTTAATAATAATCTTTGTATTAACATAAAATAGTTAGTTCATTAATAAAAATATTGTATCATTTTAGATATGCCATCGAATACGTTAATGGCTTAGAACCGGCTGCTAAAAGTCGAATTACCAATCTTCAGCCAACGGTCGACGTGCCGGACGGTCTGTACGACGCCGGTGATGGGTTTTATGATCCACTGACTAACACTGTACGCGATTATTGGTCAAATAAACTGATAAGGTAAACACATGGGTTATAAAAGTTACGTTTAAACAACGATTTCACTCAATGGCTTCGATAAAGCAAGTAAGGATTAACGGACACAAACAGTCGAATGAATCCGTTAACTATCTTTCTATTGCGTCGTCAATTCAATCTAAATCAGTATTTCTCAACCTTTATTATGTTACCGCCCCCTTGAGTAGGAATCAATTCTTTAACGCCCCCCTATGTGAAAATTCTATAATTAATAGTATGGGCTGAGAGATAGGAAAGAAATTAATGATTTGGAAAATTTGAAAAAAAATTGAATAATTATCTCATAACTAATGTTTTCATTTATGTTTTATTTTTCATATTTTTTTTAATTATAGTACTAGTAAATTAATTAAATTAAACATTTGAAAAAAACTTAATAATTTATCAATTTTATTTTATAATAATAAATACATTTTTTAGTTTATTTAGAAAAAATATTACTTTTAAAAAAAGATTTTAAAATCAAATAAAAAATATTGCTTTTATTTTTTTTGTAGATATTTACCCATCAATTTTTTTTTTTTTGTATTAGAACATTTAGTAAAAACTATTACAGTTCAACAATTAAAATAATGTTAAATTTTACAGTTAATATATAAAAACATAACAAGATAAGAAAAATAAACACAATTATTATAATGAAAATAAAAGTAGTTAATTATAATATAGATATGCATTACAATAGAAAGTTTCTTATTTTAGTTTTTAGAGATGTGATTGTAAGCTATTCGGTTAACAGGTAAACATAAAATACAATTATAACTTAGAAATAATATTGTAGCATAAAATCGATAATTAGGTAATTAGACAAGAATATGAAATGAAATGTTACACAATTTGATGTACTTACAATGATATATAGAATTACAATTGACTTTTATTTAATAATGACGTAAGGAGTAACAGGAGGGGTTTTATAATCGCAGTGAATTCGGTAAAGAAAGAAGTAAATAAAGTTTCTATATTAAGAGATAAGTGGGAGTGTTTATAATTGGCGGAAGTAGCTTCGGCATATGATGGTTTATCAGTATTGGAATTTAAGGTGGATTTAAGAAAGTTAATATGACATTTGAAAGTAGAAATGAAGTGTTCACGATGAGGTGGTCTATTATTAAGTTTTTTATAAACAGTACAACCTTTATAATTTGCTGGATGACTACCTTGGCATAAAGATCATCTGGCCTGAGATTCTGGTGACATAGTGCATACGTCAGATCTATGTTCTTCGCCACATCTGATGTATCGTGAAACGTGGTTGCAGTAACCTACTTTGTACCCGTAAGCTAGACAGCGGTAGCATTGAGGTGGGCCTTTACGTAGATGGGGTTTTTCGACAATAATTTTTGTGTGCAGAAGATACTCGATTTTGTATAAGTCTATATTGTTAGTGGCTTTTTTGAGGTCAACGAAAAAGAGAGGTAGAGGTGATTTATCGGAAGAGCGCTTAATGTTATGAACGTGGGTAACCTGGTGTCCCAATTCCGAAAGAGCGGTAATTATATCTTCAGTAGTGGTAGAGATTACGAATCACCACACGTAATGGGCGCTTATCATACGACTGGTATGAATGAAAACTGATATTGGTCTCAATTAGATATTTAATGAGTAGTCTGTAATGCTCATAGAAATGAGTATAGATGATCAGGTAAGAAGGAGTAGTTTTACAGATAAACTCAGTTTTATTGATAATTGTCATCAAATTTGAGGTAAAACTGGAAAAATTACTCACGCCTTTAATATAAACTGCAGGTGGTTTTTGTGGAATTATTTGATCATGAGATTGAGTCTTGTTTGGCTGTGTGTTGTCGTTTGAGTCATTTAGTGTGGTAAGAACTGAGTACCGGTTAGGAGTTATAAATATTTTTGATTTCTTATCCACTGACTTGGGTGAAAGCGAAGAAGACGATAAATTTCTTTTGCTTGGAGTTGAATTAGTTTTGCTAGTGCCACGATTATTAGTCGATTGGGCCACCATATTACATAAATGTAAAGACAGGAACGAGCGTAATGACCGTGCGTTCATGGTGAATGTTATCGCCGAAGTGAACCCATGTATTTTTGTAGTAATTTTTTTTTTAAAAACATGTTTTTAACAGACTGAATATTACGAGTATAATAACGAAAACTAATACAACATACGCGGGTCAAATCAAACGGTTTATTAAAATGTTGGTTGATATAGGTAACTATAATAATAACTTCCTTTAATAAAATACAATGTCCAAGCACAATCGCTAAAATAATAAAGATAATAAATGTATCAATAATTACTCAATATAAAGTACCTATTAGTAATTAATAGTAATTATATAGATTATCAAGTATGAATTATTTTTAGGTTATTCCATGTACAACGTTTCTGCGTAAACACGCTTGCCACCCCTTTACCACCCAAAACTAGTTCACCACCCTCCTACCACCCAAAAATAGTTCAATGCCCACCATTGATACTTCACCGCCCATTGGGGGGCGATATCGCCTCCGTTGAGAACCACTGATCTAAATTAAAATGTATTTTTGGTTTTCAATTGAAAACGACGACGATACGCCATGAGTGGAGTGCAAATTCGTGTACCTAAGTACAAAAAGATAGTCGCCATGAAGTCGTTAACTGTATTAATATTTGTTCTCCAGTGAATAATCATTTTATGTAAAAGAACAAACGTAAAATGATTGTAAATACATATTTTCTATATATAAAAATCTCGTGTCACAATGTTTTTGGTAATAATCTTCCAAAATGGCTTAAACGATTATAATGAAATGTTGTATATACATTTGATAGGTCTGTGAATAGGTTTTTATCTATTTTTTATACTCCTAAGTTCTAATTTTTAATAAACCGTTGTTTAATTTAATAATTTTTGACCCGGTCGATGACTGCGCAATTGAAAATGAATTATTAAATGATACTATTAAAAACTATTCATTTTATTCTTGGTATTTAATGACGGGTATTGCATAAATATTAAATAACAATATCCCGCGACAAGTGCCAAAACAAAGAAGAAAGTTAGTTCGAAAGATTATTATGCATATCGGTTGATGATTAGATGCGATAAAGGTAACGTTATTCTACGATGTCGTGAGCTTTGTCAACAATTCATGGTCGAAATATATATAAAGATAGATAGCGAACGATTTCGATACTTCGATTTCGATTCAATCAAAAAAAACTGCGTGCGGAAGATTCTCAAAACAATTGTTAGATATCGATGATGGGAAAGTTACTACAGATGAAACGGGATGCATACAATTACCGAACGATTTCTGCACAATCATTTATTCGCAAGATGCTCTCATTGACCAGATATGTCCCAATGTACACAGACAATACACAAATCATGAGTAGCTGGCAAAAAGAGCAATTTTAGCAGCAAAAAATGTGGACGTAGATGAATTGAATCTCAAGATACAACATTTGTTACCAGGAGACTTGGTGTCATATAAATCTATTGATACAGTTTGCGATGCTACTGAAGCTGTAAATTATCCAACAGAGTTTATAAACTCATTGGATTTACCAGGCATGCCACCGCATGATTTACAACTGAAGGTTGGATCTCTGGTTATTTTGCTTCGTAATTTGAACCCACCACAGTTGTACATCGGCACGCGATTAGTCATTAAAAAGTTAATGAAAAATGTAATCAAAGCTATAATTTTAAATGGCGAATTTCGAGGTGAAAATATAGTAATATAAAATATATATATATATTGTAATAATATTATTATCGCAAATCCCTATTATACCCACAGATGTGCCAATACAATTTAAACGCCTTCAATTTCCAATTAGATTGGTATTTACAATGACTATCAATAAGTCTCAGGGCCAAACGATGTCAGTTTGTGGCTTAGATTTTAGCACATCATGTTTTTCACATGGACAATTATACGTGGCGTGCTCTCGAACCATCCAATTCGTTTGTGTTGGCGAAAAATGGAATAAAAAAAATAATTGTACACTCTGTTGCATTGAAGGATTAATATTGTTTTTTTACTAATATTTTCATAATTAGCATTATATATAATTTTAATGGATCAATTTTAATAAATTATTAAAAAATAAATGTTTAGTGTTTTTTCATTTTTATCTTTCGTCACCGTTCACAGTAATCCATTCCTCATCCACTTATATACCACATCCTTACACACCTATATTAAATTAGTTATTTATTCTAGCAAAATATTCTCTAGAAATAATTTATATGACAAAACAACGTTTGTCGGGTCAGCTAGTATATATATATATATATATATATATATATATATATCATTCTAACCCTTTACCCTAACTCATCCTAACTTGGATATCGGGCGGAATCTTTGAGGTTTAAACTATACTGAACAATATACCGATTTGAGGGTTATTCATGGAACCGATTTCTGTAAATTGGTACGACTTTCTAGCTGGGTTAGCTGCACCACTCGATCTGCATATATTCGCCATCGTCGTTGACATGTTCTCAGTATCTAATTAAAATAAAAATCACGCGTTTCACATTTTGGTCTGAACAAAGCTTGACACGGGGGTGGTGGTTGGCAACTTCAATCGACGCCTTCAGTCTCGCCCATCGGTCGTAAGTACATAATAACAATGGTATCGTCATGTGATCCCCGCCCCAAAAAGATCGAATCAAACCCTATAATCTTACATAGTAATTATATGTACAATTTTACGATTCCAGTTCCGATTCGGTTCGTAGAAAAAAAATCGGTTCCAATTTCAATGTAGGTTCTTAAAAAACTAAAACTTCGGTTTCGGTTCCTTTTCAGTTTTAAAAAAAATAAAATAAATTTAGGTTTTGGTTTTTAAAATAACAAAAATTATAGTTTGCGTTTCTTTTTGATTCTTAATAATGAAAAATTTGTTTTAAGTTTTGATAATTCAATATTTAAAATATAAACCAATAATTTTTTTGTTTATAAACGCATATTATATTTATTTAGGGTCATAGATATTTGCGTTCAGTTAACAGTACAAAAGAAAATCTATTTCACTTTCGAAAGATTTTATACTGATCATTTTATTTGTATATTTTATTTATTTTTGCAATATTATTTTTGTTACAATTCCTATGAATTAATTAATTATAATTAATTAAATTATGTAGGTACTTAAATAATTACTTTTGAGTATTATAAATCCTAATAATAATAAAAAATTTACGTATTTATTTAGTTCTAATATAAATATAAATTATGAAGTTATAAAAATTAACCATAAAAAACCTTTGCAAAAAATTATCGGTTCCGGTAAGATTACGGTTTTTAAATAAACTATAATTGAGATTGCAATTTCACTAGATTCCAATAAGGTTCTAGTTATGAAAATTAAATTAAATTAGGGGTTTGATGAGGTTATGGTTTTTAATGTTCAAAGTTTTCTGATTCTAATACCAGTTATTTTTAGTATGGTTATATTCCCTGATTTAAGGTACTTATTACAGTTGGAGTACACCAGAGCCTAAGATCGTGTGTACTACGAAAAACTTTTTACAATACAAATGTGTGTGCGGAAAAATTTGAATGTGTAGTGTATGTTCATTTTATATTCATTGAATTATTTATGAATAGTACAATGTATAGAAGTTTAATCTTTCACACCGGTTAGAATTTATTGAAACTATGAAACAGGCACTTACATGTAAGTGCCTGATTCATAGTTTCAATAAATTCTAATATTAATATATTAGATAATAGATAATAGATATGAATATTATAAATTATAATTTATAATCTATAAATAAAATCATTTTCCAGAAAAGTAATATATCCTCGTTCGTTACGTACGATCTGTCTACAAATCTACAAACCTTTTCTTAAAATGTAATGAATGTTTCAAAAAATGTAGAGTTTTAGATTTTAACGTGACAAAATGTTATACAAATCAAATAATCGTTAAAGCTTCCATTTATACCACACAGGGAAGGCCTAATTATTAAATAAATCGGTGATGTATTTGATCGATATATGTATTCCTTCTATCTTTATTGCGCGTGCGAGTTTTCATTTGTGTCGCTACATCGTGAACTTGGTCGACGGACGCCCTTCGTGTGTGCACTCACCCCGTCGTTCCTTCTGTCTGTTGCATGACGGATTGCACTGCACATCATATCGTCGAATTATAAATATTTAATTAGATGGTTTTTTTTTTTTTTGTTATTCTGGTATTTTCAATAATACTGGCGAGGCTCTGCGTGTACGATAACGTCGCCAGTTGAAGCGACACTCCGTTTTTGTCGTCGGTTGTGTGCGGAGCAATCACAGTTTTTTAATTATATACTATACATCAGTGAAAATGTGATTTTTTTTTATGGCGTCGACTAAACCGGGCCGCAGCTTCTATAGCCCTCCAGGGCTGGTAAGGTATTATTGTTTTAATTATTATGTATGAGCCAAGTTGATTATTATTATTATTTATTATTATTCTTAGTATGGCATTTTTTTTTTTATTACCATTTATTGAAATCTACAACGGTGACGGATGTGTACCAGACCATCCACCCCGTTTCATATTATTGTTATGATGGTTATGTAATGGTAATTGTAACCTTACAGAAAAAATCCGGAACGTATACCCGAAGGCGTTCATCACATTACTAGAAAAACGTAGATGTCATTTTGTTTTTGATTAATACATTTTTTTTTCTTTTCCTTTTAATTTCAGATGAAGTTTTTTGATTGTTCGATTTTTTCCCTCATATTAACGTAAAATATTCTCTTTTAACAAAACCTCATATAACTAAACATTAACAAATCGTCTTTTTCTTGTGTGCTCCGTCTTCAACGGAATCACAAAATTTTTATTATATCCTATACAAAAATCTTTAGTTTAATAAAGTATGGGTAACATTCTTCTCGCGATCATCCCACATGTTATGTGATCAATTGTCACGAGGTATTGAATTAACATGACGACTCTACAATAATTGTATATAATTATTATTTACGTATACTCAATTTTAATTATTTCAAAAAGTACCAAGTTGACTTTATTGATTAACGCAGTATTTTTCTAAAAAAAATACTTCATGGTCTCGTCCAGTAGGTTGGTGACCCTATTTTTTATCTATATCCTTATAAAACGCCATGTAAGTTACAACCAGGCCCATTACGTTTAGTCATGTTTATATTTATTATTCTGGTAGTTGTAACAATGGCGCTCAAATGATTTTGTCATGGGGGGGATGTAGCTGATTTTTTTAATAAACACTGTATATAAAAACCTTAATTTTTAAACATGGAAATTATATTATATTAATGATATTATTAATTATTATTAATGATATTTATATTATTAAATCTATTTTTCTGGTTTTTTTGCCAATTCGTCCAGTACTTCGTCTACAGTTATATTGACAACCTCACGATGAACAACCATAGTGGTTAAACCATTGAGACGACTCTAAAATAATATAATTACACAATTCATATAATAATATAATATATTATGTTAAGCATTAAGTACTAAATTTAAATTTCATACATTCTTATAATTTAACTATAAAGGAAATAAAAAAATCTAAAAAGTTTGTTTCAATTAATATTTTAGTGTTTTATGTTTGAACCGTTAATTTTATTCAAGCCTAGAGACTGTATAACTAATAAGTACAGAATATTTATTTTTTTAAATAGAAAATAGATGAATACCTATATTATATTATGCATAATATGGATGAATTATTAATATTTAAAAAAAGGTTATGGGGGGATCTATTCCTCTCACCCCTCTCCCCGTTTGACCGCCACTGAGTTGTAACCTTACAAGGTCTTGATCTAAACTACAATAGTTGTATTACGGAGTTCAGGTCAACAATTAATAAATTATTTCGATCGTCAAAGTCAACAAATTATCAGCATTCCAAATCGACATAAATACAAAGCGAATAAATAAAATTATGATAATTTAATGTACCACATTGAGGCAATTCGCAAAAATTATGCACGCAAATGAGTTTGATGATCAAAGGCTGAGAAAGGTGTAGATAAAATAGGAGAGGGTGAAAAATTTTCCCAACTAAATTGTCAGAAAAAATTGTTTTCAAACATGGCAAAAAACTTTTCAATTATTTTATATTGATAATCCTAAACTTTTCGTCTACCTATAAAATAATACGAAGAAATTACGTCATACAGAATTGGTTACAAAATCTTCTACATACAAGCTACACACCTATAATTATGTAGTATATTGCTTATCGTGTTATATTTTTTACCAATCGTTAATATTGTACAGTGTAAATTAAAATTATTGAAACGTTATCTTCGTTACTGCAAGAAATCGTAAACCGGCGACGCGTCATCTTGGTAATTTTCATGAAAAATAATAGTTCTTTATCGGTCATGAGAAATTTAGATCAAAATTACTATCTAATATATACTTAATTTCTTAACATTTTACTTAGCCTGCCAATTTCTGTCGCAACAGCAGAGAGAAATTTTTCGACTTTAAGGTGGTTTAAAACTTGTTTAAGAGCAAAAATGGGGGAGAAAGATAGACAGAGTTGACTCTTATGTATATCCATAAGGATTTAAATTATGACAATGAAAATAACCTAATAAATAGAATTACCAGATTTTTCTAAAGAAAATGACGAAAACATAAGTTTATATTATAAAAATAAAGTATACTATTAACTTTTAATACCATACAAATTATGTTATTTTATTCCTTTAATTGTTATAAAATTTAACTTTCTTCCTTAAACTACAACTTACCATACATAAATCATATTTATGTATAAATAGCTATGCAATCTCTGGATCCGTCCCTAGGCTATACGAACATATTCGATTACGTAACCCGACTTGCTATGTACAATCTATAAATTATATAATGAACAATAATTGTCTTAACAAATAATTAGCTTTGGAGTTATTGAGTGAAACGGAAAGACATTGTGTCTTTGAAGTCCGTGAGTTTGAAGTTTTACAGTACGTGACCTTGTGTCACAAGCTATTGTTGTTTATTTTTCAATGAAAATGAAATATCACTAGGTATGAGGTTTAATTAATTTCGTTCTGCAGTTATATATAGTATGACTGTTGACTGGATTTTATTGGCATTGAAAAACTAAAATATACACATGTTTTATAATCTAAATATGTACTATACAATTATTACAATAATTTTTTTGTACAACTTCACATTTTTTCTAATTTGAAATGATTACAACATTTTATATTATTGTCCAAAATTACATTTAACTCCATACTACACGTATGAAATATTCAGATGAATACACATATTCTTATTACTCTAATATGCGTTTAAGAATTTCGATAATACTGAAGTTAATTTAATTCAAATGAACAATGCACGCTTGTAATTAATGATTAACCGACATTATCGTGTATTATTATATAACATGAAATCAAAATATTTATATCAGCCTATAAATATTCATACAGGATTCCCACTGATGAAGGTGGCCAATGGATTGTTGAAAATTGTCGTCGTGGTGGAGTTGTTGGAGTTGTAGGTTTTCGACCAGATCTATATGAAAATTGGTATAAAAAGACAGAAAACGTACGTAACACCAGTTATACATTCCAAAAAGACAAAGACGCTATTTCCAAACCAATAATTTACAATGATGAATCAACTACAATGGCTGACGTAAAATCACCTACTTCAATCATGGTCGATTTAACAAATTTTCGGTGAGCATTACTGAAATTGTATTATCACTTGTAACTGTTACGAATCTTTTGTTTTTTAATTACTATTGCCTTTTTCTCAATTCTCGGCTATACTCTTGTCTTCCACTTCCACACTCATCGGTTTTTTCTGGTTCACGTATCCCAACTATCCAAATTTAGTCTCTTGATTCTATATTTCTACTTAATAATTTCTACCTAGGTCTTTTCTTCACTCTCTCATCCTTTTTTTTTTTAATATTCATTTTCACAAAACCTCAAACTTCCTCTGGCCTATTACCTTCCATAACATGTCCTAATCACTTGATCAACTGCTTTATCTCTCTCTCATCATTACTACTGTCTGATCTAATACCAAACTTTATGAACACTTTCTATCTCTTTATATAATTAAAATATTCAAAATAATTAAAAATATTCTTATTTTTCATTGTTTATAAGATTTATAATTTGATAGTTATTTATATGTACATACTTATTGTTAAAATTTGAACAATTTACTTGACACAGTGTGATTTAGAGCTGAAACTGTATCGTCGTAATAATTTATTAAATAAAATGATAACAGTTAGAGTGTACAGAGTTTATGGATCGAGAAATGTGATATAATTATCAATCCAATGAATATTAAATTCATCCCATCTAATATCATAAAGTATAAAACAGAAAATATTCAAAATAGTTATTAAGAATTCAATATTCTACCTGTACAAGTTCATTTTGTAGTAAATGATTATATCAAAATTCAGACAATCATTTACAACAATAATGGATAATTACTTAAACACTGCCAGCTTGATATAGTATTACACTTATGCATAACAATATATAAAAATATATATGTCTGAAACTAGCATAAGTAATTATCTAAAATTAAACACAGCTACAAATTATTAAAAAAATAAGTAAATAAAAATATTTTTTTGTACATTTAGAATATCTTCTTATTTCTTAAACACAAATATAAATGATTAAAAAAATTAATAAATAAAAATATTTTTTTATACATTTAGAATATCTTCTTCTTCTTCAGTAAACTCGGCCACTAGAACCATCCTGACATACACTCTTGCCTCCAAATGTCTATCCGCTACCTGTATCTTCCAGTCTACCCCTCCTAACGCTTTCACAACCTTTCTTACGTACTACTAATGTTTATTTTACATTTAAAATATACATAAGTTTTAATATATTCGGCTGTTAATTAAATATTTATCATTTCACCCAACTAGTAATTATCAAGAAATACATACTTAGCGAACAAATGCAGTTTTTCAGCTTTAATAATTAAATAATTAAATTTATATTGTTTTATTTTTTATAGTCAGTACTCAGTATTTTTTATGTTAAAGTTTCGTAAATTAAACGAAAAAGGTAGGTTCTTTGTATAGGTATTTTTGGTTGTATAGTTTTTAATAAATTAAGTGCCTGCATTTTTTTAAGTCTAAAAAATAAAGAATAAATGCCTTGATAAAATATACAATTTATTTATAATATGAAATGTTTATATTATAATTTTATCAGAAACCATATACTTCATCAGAATATATTATAATGACTGAACTATAATCATCAAAAAAAATATTTCAAATAGGTATAAATAAAACCAAAAAAGAAAACTAAAAAAATATTCAACATATTTACTATATTTACATTGACTTTTACTCAGAAGCGTTTTATATTCAACATCACTCTCACATCATTACTAATAACACAAATATTTAAACTACTAGTTTTCAACATTTTTCGGATGCGATTCCTTAAAAAAAAAAAAAATGTTGTTTTATTCATTAAAATTTGATTTAATTACCGATAAAATATTTACAAAATAAACAGTTTTGATTGGTTTACACTTAAAAATTTCACAAAATAAATATATCAACATATTGTTTTATTTTTAAACTAGCTGAATTACCCGTCGTTGCCGGGTTTAAGTATATAAATGTATGTAACCTGCCAAGATTAAATTTTGTTAAATCTATTGAAATTTAAATTAATTAATATTTTTGAAATAATATTTTATACATATTAATTTAGTTATTATCATAACCTATTCGATAAGTTATAGCTTACAACTACCTGAACCTCTCTACAGTTTGGTATTCTGTTGAATACATATAGCATCTCACTTCTCCGAATATTTTACTTTTTGTCAATAAGTTCATGGTCTTTTTGACTTTCAACCGAAATACTCTAGCAATTATATCATGTCGATCATATGATCTTTGACCGGGAAGTAAGAGCTCTTTTATCTCGTCCCAGCGAGGATTACATGTAAAAGTAATAAAAAGGTCAGGACGACAGTAATGTCTAACGTAGGTCATAGCATCTTGTGTTCTTTCGTGCATGTACCTTGGTCCACCAGTAAAAGTTGACGGGAGTATAACCATTTGGCCTAACTGATTAGCTTCTATGTCTCGTCGTCCAATCGCATCTTTTAAATGAATATAACTATCTGCACGAAATTTGGCTTGGTTGTTTTTGATGTAATTTAGTCTTTCAGTTTCAATTTTGGCGTATTCATCTACCAAATATTGACTGAAAAGAGAACGATAATTAATTAAATAGTTGTCTTCCCCTTCTCTGACCATTATTCTATATGAGTAAAAACTTGATGCAGAGACAGTTTTTTTAAGCGGTAACTTGGTTTTTGGATCGCGTTGTGGTATATTGATTGCATACCCATCATCCCCCCAACAAAACATTAAAGGATACTGCAGTCGTATGCTCGATGTATCTCACTGATACAGTGAAGTGAGTTACTTCGGTTTTCGAGGATCATGTCTCTTCGATCAAACTGCTGATCTACTAACACTAAAGCAACTTCATTTACCGTTGGTGCATTATACCTGCCTCTATGTTCTTCTGGTGGTTTTTTATCTGCATGTATTACAACTTTAAATGACTTTGAAGGAGGTATTTTATCGATGGTAAATTGTAATGATCAATTGTAAATTATGCGGTGGCATGCCTAGTAAATCCAATGAGTTTAAAAATTATGTTGGATAATTTACAACTTCAGTAGCATCGCAAACTGTATCTAGATTTGTATGACACCAAGTTTTCTGGTAACAAATTTTGTATCTTGAGATTCAATTCGTTGACCTCCACATTTTTTGCTACTAAAATTGCTCTTTCTGCCAGCCACTCATGATTTGTGTATTGTCTGTGTACACTGGGACATATCTGGTCAATGAGAGCATCTTGCGAATAAATGATTGTGCAGAAATCGCTCGGTAATTTTATACATCCCGTTTCATCTGTAGTAACTTTCCCATCTCCAATATCTAACAATTGTTTTGAGAATCTTTTGCACGCAGCTTTTTTTGATTGAATCGAAATCGAAGTATCGAAATCGTTCGCTATCTATCTTTATATATATTTCGACCATGAATTGTTGACAAAGCTTATGCATCGTAAAATAACTTAGTCCTGATCGCGTCTAATCATCAACCGATATGCATAATAATTTTTTGAACTAACATTCTTATTTGTTTTAGCACCTGTTGCGGGATCGTTTTGTTTAATATTTATGCAATACCCGTCATTTACTATCAAAAATAAAATTAATAGTTTTTAAATAGTTTTTAATAGTTTTTTAATAATTTTTTAATAGTTTTATTTAATATAATTCATTTTCAATAGCGCAGTTATCGACCTGGTCAAAAAATATTAAACCGATTTCAACCCTTTAAATTCAAAATTTCGAAAAATCCTTTCTTAGCGCACGTCTACATCATAATAGCTATTTGTATGCCAAATTTCAGCCAGATCCGTCCAATGGTTTGAGCTGTGCGTTGATAGCAGTCAATCAGCTTACTGTTTTATATATACAGATTAAGATTATTTCATTCGTTATTTTTGGTGACTCCCAAACCTCTCGGGGGCCGCGACCCTCAAGTTGAAAACCACTGATCTAAACCATCGGTCATAGTAAACTACATACATTTCGAATAATACCCCATTTCTTTTACACGCATTATCTAGTATATTACACGAGATCCATATTAATTTAAAAAAAAAAAAAAACAAAGCCTGTTTTCAGTGGTATATACAATTTCTATTTCATGTCTTTTCATGAATTTATTGACTTAACTATTTTTAAAGCACCTTTTTTACATTAACTGTAAAATATTTTACACCGATATGCCACTGCAAATACGTTTATGAAATGCATAAGCATCATGATATCGATTTTCTTTAACTAATATTCGTAATAATCAGGCACGTATCTAGGGAGGGTTTCATGGACTTCTCCGAAATTCTTATGAGCCGGCATTTAAAATCATAATCTTTATCCTTATAATTTAGATCAGAATAAAATACTTTATTATTAAATACGGATTATACAAAAATATTTTATTGCATTGGTACAAAAATAAATTACTAGGTATAAAACGGTCAAATATCAAATATTATTTTATCGTGTAGAGCAAATGTTGAAAAAATTTAAAATTTAAACGAATGTTATGAAGATTATAAATCTAAAAAAGTAATTGGGTTTTAATCTCTATTATGGTGTGAAAATGGGTAAATATAGAGAAAACCCATTGAAATGATGAATATTTTGGATGCATGTGATGTTTGTTTTACCCAAACAAACATTTTTTATTAATCATTTTGGCAACACAGTTTCCACAACAGCAATTGAACGTTCATTTTCAACACTAATGCGCTTAACTTGTATATTTTATTACTAAGATTATAACCGTTATTTTTCAGACAAAAGCACAACATAGATATCTATTTGCAAAAACTTTAATTTAATTTTGTTTCAAAAACAGTTGAAACTTAAACTCAATAAAAAAATATATGATATACATTTTTAAAAACAATAAAAAAACCGGAAATTCCATCAATTTTTAAGTAACTATGAAGATTTACCTGAATCTGAATTATTTTTTAATACCTTTTGAGACACGTTAAGATGTGTAATACATACGCAGTTTTCGAAGAAAAAAAAACTTAAAACGTTAGCCGAATAACACAGTCATACTTCATTGATTTGAAGGTAATAAATAATTTATACTCCTAGTTCTAACATGTCATGGTGAAAATATGAAATATCCCAATGAAAACGTAAGCGAAATGATTAAGTGAAATTTCTGGTGAACACACAAAATTATTAAAAAAATTTTATATATTTAACACCTATATTTTTACGTGTACATAAATATTATTTTTCGATAAACGACTCATCAAAACATCATATAAATAGGCGTTCATAATTTCTAAATAGTTCTAAAACTATTAAACATTATAAAATAGTAGAATATATGTGGAAAGTTGATGAACACCTAATGATGGAAAAATATTAACATAAACCTAATATTTACTTTTGTAAGAGGGTTATTGAAATGTTGATTACAATTTATTCTAAAAAATGCTACGTATCAATTATAGTGTATGATACATATAAAAATAATATGCACCATGATACGATTTATTAAAATTTGTATGTTATTATTTTGACTTTATTTTTTGAATATTAAATAACAAGCAAAGTGAGCAATACTTAGTTGATTTAACAGTTATGATTTTTTTTTTTCTGTCCATGATTACAACGTCGTAAAATAACGCTAGGTAGAAATGCTATTGAAATAACGCGCCTCGAAAACTGTCAATCCTCATTGTTGTTCTATACACGTAAAATGATTTTAAACGATATAATAATAATTCATATTAATTCTTCAAAAAGATTTACTCCGTGCCACAGTTTTAAATAATAAATAGGATGATAAGCAATTCCTATTTTGGAATATCGACAGTAGGTAGAATACTTTGTGATCAGTGGTGTATTTACAAACAATATTTGGTGAGTTTGTCATCTTAATTTTTTTTTTTTTATAAATCAGGATAAAATGGTCAAAATTAAATTTTTATCTGTTTTATTATATTCTAAATGAAAATATAAAATTATATATATAGGAAACCCCCCTCATAAATACACCACTGACTGTGATACGCGAAAATTGATAGGGTAAATAGTTAGATAAGCACTTCAAAATGTATATAAATGTTTATATTTGTTGTGATAATATCATATTATATCATATTATATTATAATATTACTTTACTGTATTGTGATCACAGGTCGAGACGAGGACCACCTTCAATGGATCGCTTGTCATCGTTGACGTCGGTTGACGATCGACTAAATTATTGCCAAAAAATCGTGTTGAAACCACGTAGTGTGACGAACAACCATTCACCTGCTTCCTTACACCAAATCAGATGATCTTGGAAATTGACAGCTAATATAATGATAATTATGAAAATCGGCGTTTTCATACACAATAAAATAATTTCGTTTTCCATTTTAATCTAATATTAAGTCAGATTAATTTTAAATTAATTTGAACAACATTTAAATGTACAAGTACTATCTTTAATCGATCTTTAACAAAATTCATTTTTATAAATTAATTTGCTATCAACGGATGATCCTTTTTTTCAACTAAACTGTTTTTTTCTTTATATTTTGTTACTTTTAACTAAAATATAAAAATATTTTCTCATATTATCCTTATATTATCAAATAATATGGATCATCAGCAATTTGTTGTTGCTCAAATTTATTTGATTCAGGGTTGAGCAAATGCATATCAGTGTGTCAACAATCGATCCAAATTACTATTTCAGTACCACACTTAGAAGTCCAAACGTGCTGCAGCGTGATGAAATGTCCACGAAAATAATTAAGTTACGTTAAATAATTACGTTTATATTTTATTCATTATTCATGTTGTATTTTTTTATTTTTATTTTCATTTTTTTTTTTTTTTAATTCATCTGTTTTGTATACAATAAAATTATTTTATTTTTATATATTTTATTAATGTTTACTAAAAAAAAAAAAAAAAACATTAGAATTCATAATAACAATAATGATAATAACATGTACATTTTGGTTTATGTCAATAAGACGCAAGTCGCAAGTTAACCATCCGTGATATATAAGTATAACAAAGAATACAGTTGTGTTTTATCACCGTCGGATTCGGTTAGGTTATTATCCCTTGAAATATGTGTGTATTCATTGCGATGAAGAGCATCCGACCTGCACCGATAAAATATTCACCAAAAATTTCATCGAAATTACCAATCATAATAAATGTTTTCATATGGTCGCTGTTCGTTCGTTTATTATTGGTGTGAAAATGGTCTACAACAACACTAGGAAAAAAAAAACAAAACAAATACTATAATCCAATAGAACGTATTGCGTCATGTGAGTTATATAAACAATTGTTTTCTTTGAGCAATATTATAAACTCGCCATAAACTTTACATTATTTCAATACGATAATTATCGCACTACAATTATGATACGTATAAAAATACTAGAAAATTGAATACATTTTGTAAACTTATCACATTTCACTAAACATATTTTTTATCTCGCCCGCACCGAAAGTTTGGTCTTCGACCGCGGTCGAAGCATTGGAAACTGATATTTTTCCTTCCAGCGGTTGGTAAAGTGGTAATCCCCGTAGTGCCCGACGGTAAAGTGGAAAATCCCAGAAAGTGCCATGCAGAAAAGCGAAAATCTTAAAAAGTGCCGGGCGGCAAAGTGAAAATTCCCAAAAGTTCTGGGCACGTATTCCCAGCACAATCAAAAACTGAAATGTATACACCACGGTCCTTGGAAAACATTTTTTTGGTCAAATCTTCGTTCATATTACAGCCTCCTTGCATAATCGTTTAATCACATTTCATTTTCACCGTTCCCGCATAAACGCGTTGAACGTAACGGATAATTACATTTATTCCATGAAATTGTTTTCGCCGAATAGTTAGTTGTTGTTGTTTCATAGATCCTTTACGTTTTCCACGAACGGCAGGAACGAGACAAAAAACAGTATGCTCGCGCGGGAACGCAATTTTCAGTGTCGGTCGAAATGCGGCCCTGGTCCGCGACCGAAACGGTTTACTTCCTCCCACGCCATTGTTGCACAATATACTATAACACTCTATAATAATCATATTTAAGCTTTTTTAAATGTTATTTCAATATTATCATTTATGACAACAGAATGCGCCCCAACTTCAGTACAGAGAAAAATGTTTTAAACATTTTTCCTTACGGATGAAGAGTGAGTAAAAGTAAAATTAAATGTGTAATTTCTGGGAAACGTTATGGAACAATATTTTATCACCCGACGAATAGTCAGAGTTGGGCATTAGTCGAATAAAATATTATTCGATTGGTTATTTGAATAAAAAATTATTCTTCATTGATTTATTCTTAATTTTATTATTGATTTTTATTTTTATTCATTATTTTAATTTGTATTATTATTCGTTATTCATTATTTGGAGATTTTTATTTACTATATTTTATTCATTATTTGGTTATTCGTTATTCATTATTTGTTATTCATTATTCGGAGATTTTTATTTACTATTTTTTATTCATTATTCGGTTATTCGTTATTCATTATTTGTTATTCATTATTCCCCATAATCATATAAATAATAAATTTAAATTCTAAATAACGGTCATCAGGACCGCTCTTAGGGGGGGGGCTTGCGGGGCCCATGCCCAGGGCCTCGCATATTGTAGGGGCCTCGCACTTGAATGTTAAACTTTTTTCGGAACTATGAATTGCAGAAAAAGATATAATATGATTTAATGCATAATCATTTATATCATTTTTCAATATGTAATAACTTTTATTGCTCATCGACCGACAACATTATCTCATTATATTATCTTATGATTATTATTTATTATTTATGAACGACCGTGGTGGTTTTTATCTCATTGACACGTGCCATTCAATGGTCACATAAACACACATATCACTGATGTAGTGGAAGAGCGGGGTGTTTTGTCAAAATTTCTAAAAATATCAAGTGTAATAAGTGGTACGATAACTGTATCTCGCACGTCTGCTTGACGAAAACCGGATAATCACTAGTAAAGTTCTTTCGTTTACGTATAAACGGGCTAGTAGTTATTATTTTATTAAAACCATTGTATTTATTTTTTTTATTAAATTTGAATTATTTAAAATGAAAATTGGTGTATAAAATACACCGCGCGTGTAATTATTGAAAAAAAAATGGCGCGTGTAGCTAAGGGTTAAATTAGTCGGATAATTAGGAGTTGGATAGTCGAAGATAAAACATTATTATGTCTTCAGCTTGAAAACGTAGATAATATTTTATCTTATAAATGTAGTCTTAGACTAAACAAACTAATAATAGCAATATTTTTGTTAATAGGAACGATAATTCCGACTGTCAGTTAGATAAATTATTAAATATATGACTAATAACTAATATAATATAACTATTCGGAATAGTTAATTATAATATCTTATATAAATATAGACATTGATAAACATGTAAATAAATACATAAAATTTAGTATAAATTATTGTATAATATATATATATATGAATGTATATATGTATATATATGTATATATAAAAGAATGCATGATGAAAATATAATTAAATTAATACTATGTACATTTACAAATCGAATATTTTTTGATGATCATCAAATGTATTGTATTATATCAGTGATTCTCAACCGGGGTAACATGTTACCCGAGGTTAACATGGACGCAGTGTAGGGGTGACACGAAATCTCCAAGGGAAAAGGAAAAAAAATTAATTTTAATAAAATCTTATTGCCACAACTGCCATGTAAATAGCATACCTTTAAGTTTGTGTCTTTGTTTTATTTAGATCCGATAAATACGTACAGTATTTTGATTTGCATAATCACTGCATTACGGATTATCTTATTTTGCAGTCGCTAGATATGTCCTGTTATAGCTCCATAACTCTAGAAGACAATCGTCCATCATTTCCACCGTTAGCCCTCGACTTCCTAAACTCTGTAAAAACCACCAGGACCTAATTTCTCATCAGTTTTCATACAAATCATTATTATGTTTTCTCTCTCTCTTTTTTTTTTTTTTTTTTAATTTGCAAATTAAAACTCTTAACTGTCAATGTTTATTGAACCATGCAACTCAAATAAATTTGTACTTATTATTTTTCTGTGTATTGTATTTTTTTTTTTTGTTATTTCAAGAATTATTCTAAAATACACAGTTAAGATTATTTATTATTTTGATGTTAGGGTGTCGCAAAGTTTTATTCTAGTAGCTGAAGGTGAAATGAACGAGAAAAGGACGAGAATCACTGTATTCGATATAAGCTAGACCAATAAAAATTGACAATCTTTCCAACAAACCTTATCTGAATCGACCAATTTAATTGTAAAACGTTTTTCTTATACTGTACTCGCTTAATTATCAGGTGCTCAGATTTCTGTTTTTATGGCTCTAATTGTTTGTGTTCAATTTTTCGTTGTTTTTCATAGTATACGACATAGATAATAGTTATAAAAATACCGAAAACGATTTCACAATATTTTTTTTCTGTTTTGTTTTTAATTTAAAATTCAATAGTTTAAAACTGTATTGGATACGCTTTAAAAGTCTTTGCCGGTAAATTATTCTTACGGATACTTAATATTTCAAAAATGACCTATATGAACACTATAAATAAGTTAAGCTCGGTCCAGAACCGTTTGTCGAATACAATGATTTATTGCTGTATACCGCTTTTTAAACGTATCTTAATAATAGAACACTGGCTTGTACCGAAGTGAGTGAAGCGAAACGAATGCCCAACACCCAGCTCGTACATATACTGCCCATAGTTTGTTTTTTTTGTTTTGTCGTCAACAAAACATTATAAAAAGTAAATCCATACTCCGGTACATTGTTCACGCAACAAAGGAAGGGAAAAGGTGTTGTTCTCTTACCGTACCGCGTAACCACCTCATTTTTAAGAATATATTGCTCTGGTTCATATTTTTTGCTTGAGATAAAATAATTAAACCAAATTGAGGAGTGTATTATACCTAATATTCTCTAAAAATTAACTATTTTATTAAAAAACTATAAAATAGTCTTTATTCCAACACCGCACAAATTATTATTTTCACACAAAATAATATAATGGATATGTAACTTACCTCGTTGTATCTTATCACGACAATGTCAGTTAGTTTTGTTAAAATAAATGTGGGTTAATAGAATATTTTTAATCAATGTTGTGTCTACTATATTTTCTGTATTGAAACTCGAAGAACAAGTATAATAATATTATAATTATTATTCGTGTCAATTGAATAATATTTTACAGTTGGCCATCCACGAACACTATATGGATAGCGAAATTTTCCTTCTCGTTTCGACGCTGTAAAACTACGTCGGCTCTCGATGTTTGAAGTGAAAACTGTATCATATACGAGAAAATGTGGTAAGTAAAATATTTTCATCGTTTCTGGCCCAGAGAAATAGGCATGATCAAGTAATTTTTTAAAAATAAAAATAAATTTAACGTATTTTCGCACGTGTAGGTACTATCGTGGAAATCCGCGTTTATTGTTCGGCAAAATTCAATGGTTCGTGAATGGTAGGTTTAAATTAAATCTTACAAATAACGTTCACTCATACGTAGGTTTATGTGAAATGTGATATATTGGATAACGTTCTGTACCATACGATTGACCAAAAAAAAAAAAAAACTCGTTGGAACAATCCATATATTTACATGTGAAAAATGTTACTTTCATGCGAACAGACTATTCGTCCCGGAAAAGAAGTTATTGTTATGTTGGTGACGTGTCGAATAGGCTCCCATAACTGCGAAAATTTCAAATTAACCATTGAATTGTCTCTAAAAAAAAAAAAAAAATCGCTTTCGAAATGGGACATACGTAAACTGCGCCCAAATAATCTTTTTTATATAAACTGCACCGAACATTTTATCGATGTTAAAAAGGTATAATGTAAACTGCGCCCAAATTTTTATCTGTTATAAATGTATAGTGTAAACTGTGCCCGACTTATTAACTTATTAAAGTCTCTATGTATGTCGCTTTCATTTAGCACAGTCTTGGAATAGAAGTATCCAACAAAACAGTTTAAATAATGACTATAAAAATAAAAATAGTGATATTAGAAGATGGTTATTTCAATGTTACAGTATACCGTTTTTAAGTGCAGGAAGTATTTTGTCAATTATTTAATGAAATCAAATCTGACGACGAAAGAGTGACATGATTTGCAAATTATTTGGTAGACATAATTATAAGTGAAGAAGCTTAGTATTCACCTGAAATATGGGCTCAAGCATCAGTGGAACCAACTTTAACCACAAATGCATGCGAGTCTTTTTATCCTCACATTAATTCCAGTTTTTATACAACTCATCCAAATATTTTCATTTTCATAGAAAAGTTAAAAGAAATTCAAATAGAAGTATACATTAAACTAAATACTATAAATGGACCATTTAAATTCCAAAACTCTAAAACAAAAAAAAAAAAAACGCGAAAACTTGGAAAATTTAATTAATAAATATAATTGTGATCAAATTCAAATTGAAGAATATGTATCCACCATTTGTTATTATTTGTAATATTTGTATTTATTTTGCTTTTTAAAATTATATTTTTTTAATTCCTAATATGTTAAAAAAATATGACATTATTAAAATAATAAATAACTTAAAGATTACTACCACGTTAAATTTGTTAAAAAAGAAAGACGTTTCGTTGTTTTTTCATTATTTGTACATTGATCACCAGAGTTTAGAATCAAGTTATTTATCTTTTAAAGAATTGCCACCAAGGTATTAAGGTACTACCGGATAATACTAATCGTGTTAATAATAAATTTGCGATAAATTTACACACAGAATCAATATTTGATAACTAGCGAACTTTGCACGTTATCGAAATTTGATAAAAATAAACACGATTATGTTAAAATTGTATCATTACTTTACCTATTTATAATCGTTAACGGCCCAACTTAAAATATATTGTAATTAACCTGCGTTCCACTAATACTTACAGTTAAACATAATATGTTTATTTACGAAATAATATTATCTTTGAATGCGATATTGTTTTTACTCGTTATTCTTCTCCGTATGTGATGCAATTGCTTATGTATAGTTATTGTAAAAATTGTTCGGCAAAACCGAAAATTGAAATCGAATATTGAAAACATCTAATGAAAGCATACGTTTTAAGTTTAAGTATATGTTCTTGATAAAGAAATTGATTATTGAGGTAGTTATCGTACAAATATTTTTTATTTTTTTTTTCATAGAGACGGGTATTATTAGCTGACAATATTTATTATATGTTATGAACACGGGAAAAAAAAAACTCTGTCCGCAACATTAAGCCGTTCAGTGAATCGAATAATATTATGTCTATCGATTTCGGTACGTTTTCGGTGATAAAAATCGTATTAAGTGATAGCTTAAGATAAGCTTCGGTTCCGCACCTAATAAATAATACGTTTCAGGTGCATACCAACTTGTTTACTCGTTGCCGTGAACGTTTTCGCAGCCTTGTCCAATGCACACAGTCCACGTAAACGCTTGACCTTTAACACGAAACCGGTTCGACACTGCGGCCACGTGATGAAACTCGTACAAAACAAATACGATTATAAATTTATATTATAAATTAACAATATACGATAATCAATGCACGTTTTACTGGTAAAACCTAATGCAAACGTGTTGAGAACTGGCGCCGGACGATCGCCGACGACGTTCAGTAGAAATATGTGCGTCAAACGATCAACGATGTGTCGATTATTGACTGCTTTGTTCGGTGAGTTTAACACAAAAACAATAATACATTTTACTATGTTATACAACGATGAGTGTAGATGATATTTGACGTACGACCTGATGTAGTTGAATGCGCCGCGTGTACGTTTTTTCACTCTACCGAAACGCTTCAATGTTGACCGGAGTGGTTTTCAAATTATTTTTTCGAATTTTCGCCTTTCTCCGGTACGTTGATTTTCGAAACAATGTTTTTAACCGTACGTAGGTGCGCAACTCGACAAATACGGATGCACAGTTTAGAATATTCGTCTTTTCGTACTGTTTACCAAATGTTCAAAAACTCTCTGTACAGTTAAAATGAGCCTAAACCTTTTGTAAGTCTATTTAACCTTGTAATGGAAATCATGGAAATCGTTCCTTATTTAGCGTAAATAAAGCTTTTGTGACTAAAATGATAATAAATAATCTCGAACATTAACATTTCACAACGCATTATGCAGGTTTAATTTTTTTATTATACAAAATGCATCGTAGTACACATCATTTTTGGCCACGTATATTCGTTTTTAATGCTCATGGTAGGTTTGAATCAAATTTTTATCTCGATTTACCGAATTATTCAGATTTACGAATTTTCTTCTTATGTAGTTTATAGTTATTTTTAATTTCTAGTAAGATAAATTATTTTTTTTCCATTGTAATTAAAATTTAACAACAAAAATAATGTTATATTTTATTAACTACAGAATACTTATCATTACCTCAACAGTATTCATCATTTATTATTAGTTAGCGAAACAAGTTATGAGATTTTTAATTTTATTTTATACCTCTATGACTTACAATGATATCTCGAATACCCAATTAACTTATTTTTACTACATACCATAATTAAATTTATTTGAATATAAAAATGAGTCATTGAACTTCAAAATTGAATTGAATAATCCGGATAATCAATGAAATCCGGATATGTCCGTAAATAGTTTACGGTTTACACGACCGTCCGCGTCCGCGATTAATCAACCATCCCTTTAATATTTTAATATGATCAATCGGGCACACATAGTACACGCGCTCATGTGGCCAGTGATTTACGTCGAAATCATTTTATTTTTTCCGTTGATTGAATTATATTATAGCAATGCAATATTACGACTAATAACGACACCGTACGATGTTGAATCTTGATGCATATTTCGGAGAAGTAGGTGAAAAAAGAAACAACATATTATGTAATTTTAATTAACATTCGTAATTATAAATAACATTTTAAACAAAATAACATAACATTTAATTAAAACCTACTATGACTAGAGTTGTAACATTAACCAGCATAGAAATGTTATTAATATAAATATTGTTCGGTGCTCTACACCAGTGCTTTTCAAGCTTTTTTATCATTTTGCGTTTTAAATTTCTAATGTAAAATTGTTATGGTCCCCCAAGGTTAACCTATACTTTAGGGCGTTGCTTTTTATTTAACATTAAAATCGTTTAAAAAATTGGACACTTTTTTTTCATTATATATTACAATCAAATTGGTATACACAAATATTTCACCGCTCCCCTAGTAATATATTAACGGCCCCCTAGAAAGTCTTAAAAGCACTGATTTACTCGTATTTAAATCACTTGTGAGTCCTGGTTACGACGTACGTAATATGGTGTATTACTTATAAAAGAAATATATATATTCGGTTAAATGCAGCGCTTTACACCTCTGTCATACACTATGAATTATGTCTATTGTTTATGTTAACCTAACCAGGCCTGTACCTCACACGTACACCGTTATGAGATGTTATAGCATATTATTATAAGAACTAAGTATTTTGGGATTACCTACTAAAATAATATGTAATGCACGGACGGCTCATGTACCCACACGGGATTCGAACAACGATGAATCACGATAAATCTGCAGAAGACAGCAGAGCAGTTTTAACCGTCAACGATTGTATTAATTTTGTTAGTTTTTATATTTTCGCAGTGCAACACGCAACCGAATGCAATAATCGCTGGATGCTGTGTGTATTAGTATATGGTTAACCGTAATTAAAAAAAATCATAACATTTTTACGACCACGTTATTATATTTGATGTTTTAACATTTTAATTTACCACTTTGGGTTGTAAATGGTCAAAAATAATGTAATACATTTCTACACGACGATTTAATACAACGTGTTGTTTTCGGTTTGATTGCAGAACGTCTTGTTTACAAGATCGATTCTTAACTTTTATATTATCATCATAATAAAATAACGTTTCGTTAGTACTATACCACCGTGTTGAGGTCAAATACTTCAATTGGCTGTTTTATTTTTATATATATTTTTTTTAATAAAATAACCTTTTATTCCTAAGAATCAAGAGCGGATTTATGGAGGTGATGTGGTGATAGCCCTTCCCCCCCCCCTAATTAGCTTTTCTTTTGGCACAGATTTATACAATTTTTTTGATATAAGAATATAGTCATACAGAAATACATACATAGTAATTATTTATATACTATCTATACATTGTCTATCAAATTATATGAATATATTTGTATAGGTACTCATAGTGGATTTAATGATGATGAGTATAGTATATTATACATATATGATAGTAATTGAAATAATATTTCTGTCCAATCCCTTCCCCAATCCCACTTAAACAAGTTTTTGGATCCCCCTGCTAAGAATAATATATAGCCAAACATATTTATTGTTTATCCACATTATTTGCACAAAGTTTAAGTTGGAGAGAGAGTTTTTATGGTGATTTAATAAAATTAGTATTTTATTCATATTATTTAAATTGAATGTAGTATACTAAACAAATAATTAACAAATATAACAACAAAAATGGAAGAAAAATAAAAAATAAAATAAATTAACAGCATTGTGTCTACTTATGTGTGCATATATAATTATTAATTATAAAACTTTAAATATATTATAATAAAGTTTACAGATATTTTACATATCACATAATAAAGTTTAAATGAACATTAAAATTAGTATTAGTTTTTTTTTTCTTTATATTTAAATTTAGAGAGTTGAATAATTTTTGTCCTATGTAATTAATGTATTTTTAGTCTATACTCTTTTTGCATAATTAATTTAAATGTCATAAGCTAAGTTTTCACGCTTATTAAGTATATCTTCCTGTATAGGAAATTTCTTTTAAAATAAACAAAATGGCAAATCCTTTGTTTAAAAGACTTACAGGTAAAATACTAGGTACTATATAATTATCTCTTGTAGATTCAGATTTATTTTTTTTTTATTAAAGGCAGTTATAAATCGTTTTATTTTGTTGAATACCTAATGGGTAGAGTATGTTTTCTGTTGTACCATATCATATAGGTATAGTTGTTTCATATTGATATATAAATTAGTACAGTAGTATGTATACAGTTCTTATAGTGTTAAAGGAAATTATTTAATTTGATTTATATAATTTTAAAATAATTGCCTTTAGCCGCATAATAATAAATGTATATTCTATCTCATGTTATGGTCAAACACCAAACCCAAATATTTTATTAGTAACTCCATTAATTCTACATGATGATGAAAAACTTTTAAGCATGAAATAGAAAATTTGAACAACTATAAATAAAACTGTAATAAAAGATTGTTATTGTTTTTATAATTTAGTATTATTTTTTTAGAGCTGAGATTTTTTATTAAACGATTTAATTCCGTGATTGCAATCGTATATACTAAACTCTATGTATTATCCGAAAATAGTTAACATGTCAGTATAGGTAGTTATTGTCCCATAAATTTACATATTTCATATGATATTTATGTATATTATAAATAGCACCGGACTAAATACACTACCTTGAGATACACCACAGTATATTTTCCTGTTATTGCCAACTAACTTATTTATTATAACCTTCTAAGTTCTATCACTCAAATGGTTTGAAAATAAATTTAAACTTTCTTTAAAAATGTCTAATCCAGGTATGATATTTTATTATTCATTATGGTCAAAAGTATCAAATGCTTTCGTGAAATCTAAGAAAACGACAATAGTTTTTTACCATTATCAAGTGCTTCATAAACATATTTTGAAACCATATATAAAGGACCTATAGTTTATAATTCTAGTCTAAACTCATTTTCATTTTTTAAAAGTAGTTTAATATTTTCTATAACTGTATTTAATCTTTATTTTACAACTTTTCAAGTATAATTGCCAAATTTTAATCAACAATATATGTCTGTAATTATTGTATATTTGTTTATCCACGTTTTTATGAAGTGGTTTAACAACTGTTATTTTAAACTAAAATAAGAACGCTTTTTCTTTTAAACTTTTATTGTAAATATAGTCTAGTGGATCTATAATATACAGTGATATATTTTTTAATAATTAAAAAATTTGTCAGAGCCAACTGCTGATTCATCTTCTAAATTATTTTTCAGTTAAGAACTTCATTTTTATCACTAGATTTAGTAAAAAATATACTAAAATTCTTATTAAAAGAATTTTAAATTTTTATATTATCTTATTTAATAATTTATATATAAAAAATTGTCATTATTAGGTCTTTATGAACATTTATCATTTTATTATCAATTACTAAGAATTTTTATTAATTTTTTATTACCTGTTATTTTATTAATTAGTTTTCCCGTATCTTTTGGATTATGTGAGACTTAGTTAAAATTATTTTTGTACAAACAAATTTTATGTTCTTTTATAAGTGAATTAAGTTTATTCCTTTATGATTTGTAATATATAAATAATGCGTTAATAAAAATGATGCTTTTTTCATTTTCATTGAAAGTTAATTTTTCGTGTGAAACGCCTGCCGTCATCCATTGTTTTATTCTTCTGTTATTAGATGTCATTTTTATATCACTAGTACATTTTTCAATAACACAATTTATTTTATTATACAATTTTTTTACTAAAACCTCAATATTAATCGTGATTGATATGTTTTATTTAATTATAAGTTTATTTACAATAAATTAAATAGTAGGAGTTTCAAATTTGTTGACAAAAATCTTTGAATCTTTAAACCATGTAAATTATAATCAACCTTATGAGACTCGATTTTTTTCTGTGGAAAAGATTTATAATTTTTTGAGGTTATTGTTCATTGATATAAATATTTGCCTTTTCCCGTTCCACAAAAATTTTTTTGTTAATTTTAATTTTCTTCTTTTCTTTCTCAGTTACTTGAATATTTATAAAATTAACTTTGATTTCTCGTATTAATATCAGAAATCAACAACAAAATAAAATGAAAAAATGCATTTACAAAAACCACCTTCACTTGAAAAAAGTACGCATTTTACGATATTTTTAAGTTTTTTTTAACTATTACCATAGAAAACATATTTTATTGAAAAATATAAATTTTATAGCTACATCATATATCAAACTTAAATAGTTTATGAAAAATTAATGACCAAGCCAAATTGTATGATTTAAATTTAGTTCCTATTAATTGTATTGATATCTTATGGCGTCAAATAGGGGGTTCTTTAAATTTAGAATATTATAATTATCAAAAAGAGAAGCAGAAAAAAACTTTGGAAATGCACTCTTTTTTCCAAATTATTTTTATTTTTTAATGCGATTTTAATTAATTGAAATGTATAAATATATAAATCGTAAAAATTCTGATTTCCATGCATTTAAAAACAATTTCATGTGCATATTTTAGTGCATTTTAATCTATACTTTTAGAGATTATACTCGTAAATGCTTTTTTTAAAGTGCATTACATTCATAATGTATATATAATCAATACTGTACAACTGATGTTTTCCGGTGATATACATAAAACTAGACATCGATATTGTTATTGAAAACCCCTTGATACTACAAACTTGTTATTTTTGTCTATATATTAAACAAGCTTATGCACTTAGCGTTTGAGTGGTCCTAATTGTGAAATACTGAGTTGGAGCAATACACTAAAATCCTAGTTTTTTATTTGTTTTGATATCTGTTGACTGAAAAAAAATTATTCATCTTATAACCATTCAATTAGACTTGAATTATTCATCATCGGTTATAATATTTATTTAACTTATTATACCTTGTAATCGGGAATGTAAGTTGTACAAAAAAACCCTATAGCGTATTTCTTCTTATTTTATAATCACGATAAACAAGTAACAGTATAAAATAATAATTATAGTATACTGTAAAATTTAATTGTTCATGGTCTTTTATTATTAAGAATATTATTATTTCTTATCTTAATGGACGAATAATTATAATTATACTACATTAGTGGGTGTTTATTTTATTCATAAATATGCACAACATTTTTATATTCTATATATTTTTTATTAAACTGTATTTTATATAATTTTAATATGTGAAACAAATTCTAAATAATAATATTAAAACGTATCTGTTGTTGATGTTCAAAAATTATAATTATTTATATGGATATTTTTACAACATTTAAGGTTAGAAGGAGTTATGAAATGCCAAAAGCCCTCTCCTGTCCCAGCCTTAAATTTAGTACTCACCAATTTCATATATTTTAGGTTCTCAATTGAAAAAATAAATACACCTATTTAAAAATATTCATTTTTTTCAAATATATTACTGTTCTAAGTAAAATTAAATGTCATCCTACTATGAGACTTATGTATTAAAATATATTATATTCGGAACTAATTCTTAATATTTCAGGACTATATAATATGAAGAGAGGTTATAGTTCAGTATTTTTAAGTTTTCAGTTTTAATTTCATCGCCTTAACACATATTTTATAATATCTTATGCGTTTATGATTACAAAAAATATTTAACGAAAATGAATATTATACAAATGATAATTTTTATATTTAAAATAACAAATTTTTTTGATATCCCAATTAAAAGTGAAGTGAATGCAAAAATCGACGCTTCACGCAAACAGTTTCTGTTGCACCAGTCTTATATCTTAAGAATAATCATAAACATTAAACATGCATCGCACAATATAATTATTGAAAACTAATCAAATTATTTTATTTTTGTCAGTGTGTTACAGCCTGTCGGCTCTATCCGTTTACGGTTATCACGGTTTTCCGCGAAATCCAGTGCATTTACCGAGTAGAAACACAAGACAATCCAATTGGTATCCAAACGGTAACGGGGAAGATTATTTTTCCGGTCTTGATCCCGGGACTGGTAACAATAACAACGAATACACGTCCGTCAGTCCGAACAACCCTAACGCTAACGGTAACCAAAATTATGAACAGCCCACCGGCGGCGATGAATATTACAACAACGATAGGCAAACAAGTACGGCGGCCAACCGCCCCACGCGCCCTAGACCCACCGACCGTCCCAACCAAGAAACGGCTTCCACCACGCCGAGTAACAACAATAACTCGGGTGTGCTTAACTCGTGTAATGCTGAATGTAAGACGAGAACCGTGATGGAATACAATCCAGTTTGCGGAAGTAATGAAATAACTTATCAAAATGTACGGTTCTTGAGATGCGTCGCAGATTGCAGCCGATTACGTAAGTAGTATACTGGCGTACTGTGGACCGGGAAGTCTAGGCAAGATTTACCATTTTAACGTGGCGAAGGAAACTTAATTGCTCCGACACTTTTAATTAGTAAACAACTTTCGTGTGTCACCGCGTTGAGTTACTTGTCGAATGCACGTGTTAAATATGTAAAACGACCAAGTATATATATGAACAAAGTTTGTCGTCACGTTCTTGTATCTTTAGTTCTATTTACCGCTCAAAAAGCACATTTATAAAACAGTCATTAAATCCCAGTGTTTATTAACTATGGCAATCTTATCCAAAGTATTAACATCGCTTTAAAAATGGTCGTCGTCAGCACTCAGATACTAGAACGTTTTTATGAAATATTGATAAGCTGTGAATTTGTTTTTTTGTAACAGAGATTTAAAATCTAAAATTATACATGGTATTTTATGGCACACTTTCAGAATTTTTAATTCATTATGCTATTTCTTCAGTTTTAGATTTTGCTATTTTTCGCTTATATGCATTACATTACGTTTGATTTATTTTATGTTTTTTGTCAATCTGGTAATTTAAATTTAATTATAAAAAAAAAAAAATTTATCGCTAGAATAGAAAATTCTCATATTTCCATTTGATTTTTTTTTTTTTGATAGATATTTTAATTTTATTTTAACTGTTAACAGAACAATACGTATAATTTAAAAAAAAAAATGATGATCAGTTTTTCTCTGCCGATTTTTCGATTTTCAAGTTTTTTATTGCACTTACTGTAAACGATTTTAAATCATAAAAGAGTATATATATATATATATATACTTTTTTTATAGTTTAATTTATAGTCTATACTGAAATATATGTACAATGTGTATATTATTTGAATTTATAGGATATATACATTGCATGGATACTTTTTTGAGAAAACTACTCATTAGTAGCATCTCTGAATTTGTTTATACATAATTACTTGTTTATGTATATATTAACTTGGTTTTTTTTTTTTTTACTGGTTTATGAAGTCTCTTAGCCAATTTTTTTTTTTTTTTTGTTTTTCTGGTGGGATTTTTAAAAATCATTAGGTAGGAGATTTGAGAAATAAATGGAATTTTGTTATTTGTCAGTTAATTATTAAATTTGTTGGAAAATTGATGGGCAAGTTTTTTGGGAATTTGAATATTTAGTTCTTTATGTAAGTTTTAATTAGTGATGTACCATGGACATCTAGTAATAAATCTGAAAAAAAATTGACGAAAGATTTTAAATTATGTTTGATGCTTGTTTCTATATTTGTATACCATACGACCCAATAGGAGCTAGAATAGTTTTAGAGATGAACATTTTATTTTTCAGATTGATTTTAAAATTGGGCGAAGGTAGTGAAGATGTGTGTTACATTATTTTCTTTTCTTTTGTGTACGTTCTTTCCATGAAATTCTTTTGTCGACAATTATTCCTGGTGTACTATAAAACCTGATCCCTAGTAAGGTACATAGCGTATAGTTCAAGTGACAACTGTTTAATCGAAAAATCATGCATATGGAAGCAAATTTTCAAAATCGTACATGCACAAATATTTAATTAACAATTACATGGTATTGATATTTGTATCTTGCAGAATCAACATCAATATGTCATATAAATATTAATATAATACCGACTTAATAATAGTATTATCATTGTATTGCACAGTATCCCGTTCGGTATAATACAATTTACTCGAACCAAACGTAGTACCTAATAGGCACTTCCTACATGTGACGGCCATGGCGTATTATTATTATTATTATTTTGATTGTTTTGTGTTTCAGCAATTTCGATGAGCTACGTCGGCAAATGCACGGCCGCAGTCAGTCAATAAATGAACGGCTATGGTACAAACTCAAAAGGTTGTTGCTCGACGGCATAATATTACTATCACTGTATTATTTTTATTTTCCACTATCTGATTACATGATTTTAATGGTAACATAGCATGTTACCATACCGTAAACATGTATAACATGTACCGTATGTTAGTTTTAAGATTATATTTTGTATTATTATATTTGGATAGTAAGCGTAAAAAAATAATAAATAAATAAATTATAAAATATGAATTATATAATATAATATAACTATTTATATATAATTATTTAATATATGTATTATATTATGCATGGGTATATATTATTATTTGATTTATTATTATAGCACTATAAATTAGCAAATAGCAATACAACCCGTAAATATGCAAAAATAAATAGCAAAATTAAATTTTGTGTATGATATCTAAATAATTTGAATCATATTAAATTTATAATTAGTCGTATCAATGCCAATATTAAATGTAAAAAGTTTTTTAAAACTATCCACGCGTATTTTTTTCAAGTATGTATCGCCGTGCACTGCGATGTCGGAGTCACATTTGCCACGAGTGCGGCGTTCAAAAAACGTCCGATACGTCCAATTCGAATTCGTTCGCATCGGACGCACTCGCCGCACTCGCCGGATTCACATAGGACACGGCGTTAGATGTTATAATAAGCCAGTTTACAGTAGGTGCACATATATGCACAACAATTAAAATATATAAACACAACGTATGATAAAGGATATAAAGTACAGTTAAATTGATTAAACCAGTAACAAGTGTAGCGATCGCTGTGTATAACACTGCGTGCTCAAAATTATTATTTAAACGACCTAGCACGTTCTTGGTTAGCTTGAGGTGATTGTGAGAAATATAGGTATTTAATAAAACACTTGTATTTTAACACTCATGAAAGTTACAACTATTTATTAATTAATACAAGAAATAGTTAAAACAGTTGTTTAACACTATATAAGAACAGTTTAGTGTGGGTTAAGAATTATGAACTCGCGGCGATATGCCTGAATATTTTTTGGTAAGTACTACATTATACTAACATTTTCCTTCCCATTTTAACAGACTTAGGACTGTATATAATCTATTAATCTATTTAGACCACAGGACTACATTTTTTTAAAATTCTATAATTTATATAATATTTTTATATACCTAATAGTATTTAAAAATTAGTGTAGTGTAATAAAAATGTTATACAATAATATTAATACAATTTTATGAAATTTAAAAGTAAATGAAAAGTAAATAATAATATCCGTAATAAAAAAAAGTAAATGTATTTTTATACTTGATTTATAATATTTTTAATATTTTTACTAACACAATTTTAATTATTTATATTTTAATGGAAAAGAAACTAAAAACAAAAAAAAAAAAACTTAAAAAAACATTTTTAACCATACCTGTGATCTAAATAGATTATAGACAGTCCTAAGTTTGTTAAACTAGGAAGGAAAATGTTAGTATAATGTAGCATCTATAAAAATCCGAGATCCAACTAGTGTAGTACTCAGTGGTTAAAGTGTTGTGGGACGGAGGGGAACGGAGTCCCCCTTTTTATTTAAGGTAAGTATATGCGTCTTCTTTAATTTAAGTCATCAAAAGTCCGGGTGGACGCTTAATGGCATTGGTCACTAAAATACAATATTGAATATACAATACTTATTATAATATTACAATATTACATAAAATGTATTTTCTTGATTTATTTGAACAAGTGGAAAAAATTTCGGAGAAATAATATTTAGGTACAACGATAAGAAAAAATGGTAGATAATTTACACCATAGGTTAATTTAATTGACGCTGTATCTAATTATAGATGATCCTCGAGCGGTTATTACCAATATCTCCAAAATTAAAGTGATAGTGATATCCACTATTATTTAGAATAAATATAAATAGAATAGAATAACTGTAAATAATATAAATATTAAATTATGATAGAGGACAGACACTATCTTAAAATATAGACAGTATACACCTTATGTGCAATTTACGTATTTGTTACTGTCTACGTCGACTAACTAGCAAGGTTAGTGATTGTTTCTTTTTAGTTTTGTTAAGTTTAAGTTTTTTAAATATTACCTTCTATGTATTTCAATTTATTTTTTTTGATCAGGCTTATGTATAGAATTATTTTTTTTTAGGGGAAATTTGTTTTTACACCCTATGAAAATAAAATTTTTATGAACATATATGTGTAACAAAAGACGCTTAGACCTCATGGGTTTCCTAAAAAAGGTTAGTAAGATTTAAAATTAGGAAGGGGAACGCTCTTTAATTTTTGATGAATATAGTCCCCCCCACAACATTTTCCCCACTTTAACCACTGGTAGTACCTATAAAAATCCAGGACCTAACTAGTACACTACCTACGATTAGCCCCTAGCACTCGGGACCCAACTCGGATGCTCCGTATACGTGAACTCCCAATGTCGAATGGATTGGAGATATGATAGCATTGATCTAATAATACGTAATTTGCAATATTCGACAAAACTAAATTAGATAAAAATAATACGCCTTATTAGGCACATTAGGGTATTTATCAAAAGTGTTGAAAATATGTTATTTAACCTTCTTGCGTCCTAAGTACATTATATATTAATTAAATATCTATTTTTATATAATGCAATGGGATGTCTTCTTTATATTATTACTATTTAGGCATACTACACAAGTAATGGTTTATAGCTAATGATTCCATATACGAAGATGGTCAGTACGTACATCACAAGTAAGCTTGAGGCCCTGAGTTACGATTCGGTTGGTCTTTTATTCTAGCCGATGTGACATAGGTGATCGGCGTGATTGAGTGGCGTACTGCATCGTACCTTTATAACATTTGGTCTATTCTGTGAAAGTCACAATTACGTGATTCACTTTATCTACTTTTCTTAACCGTCTAATTTGTGGAACAACTCAATTGCACAATATGTCACGTAAATACTATATCTATATAAGTATACGAACAATCTTATTAAACCCAAAGAACATAACGCACATCGACATTCGAGGTGTACTCGGATTATTATGTTTGTAGACACGTGGTCTGAAGAGAGCAGTTTAGCAGCAGCGTAAAGTAAATTCAACAACAATGATCGTGTAATAGGTTTAATTATGTTTCCAATGTATATTATAAATGGGGTCGGCGACGGTGACAACAATAACACCAATAGAACTCGTTTAACTCGGTTTCCTCCGGGCCCATATTGCGTAGTTACGATCTTTAAACTTCAGATTTTTCAAGGTCTACTCGTGCAGACATTTTTCCGAGCACTTACGCCCGACATAGCGTATACCATATGCACCACGTATCGGGTCGAATAACGTGAACCAGTATCACGAATCGTTGCTCGCAATTGAGCACATTATGTGCATAAGATGGGAAATTTTCATTTCGGATGCGTCCGAAACGATTTGTGCTTAAAAACCCGTGTAACAAGTGACCGCGTTGCGAAGGCAGGTACGCAGAGCGTTTTACGCGTTCGGAACGATAAATTTTACTGACGTGACCTTGCGACGGGTCAAAGTCATTTTTTTCCCCTAACGAAGCAGAACAATTTATCGTAACGAACGCAAATCATTTCTAAAACGCATTTGCTCACTGACGTTAAGACGATTATCCGGTGGAAGAGGGAGGGGGGGAGAGAGAGAGGAAGAACCGATAAATAAATAAATACTCGTGCACGTATATTGTACACACAAAGTACATCCTTTGACGAACGTATAAACATAATATAATGTATATTGCAGTTTTGTTACATAATTAACGGACATTCACCACGTAGGGGAGACGGCCAATTACGGTATCGAGTACGATATGACCTTTCTCACATCATTCGGCCGACGTATAAACAAATAAAATAAAAATAAAAAATAACGATAGTACAATAATAATATAAAATTGGTAGGAGAACCGTCTATATAAGAGCTGCTCTCCGTTGTCCGCAGAACAAACCGCTCGTCGCTTTACACTTATTCGAAGAGTGCACTATTTACGAAAAACGCACAAACACGTATTCGTCATGCAAGCCTTAACATTGGTCCTTTTAGTAGGTAAGTGCATCAATTATTATTATCTATTATCGGCTAATGAATATTGTACGATCATATATTTAACGGTTAAATTTAAAACTTACCAATGGTATTTTTCGTACCTGCACCGTTGTTAATCTATACAATCGATTGGCGCGTAGACGTTTTTCGCTTTAACGTTATGAATAAACAACACAATTTATTACAATATTTCCTAGTTGAACGCGTTCAAAATCTTTATAATAGTTATGAATTAAATAGATCTGTTTATGCATGACTTTTAGCGAAATGCAGTGTTCGTTAATTACTATCACATAAAACAAAATGTTTTAAACTGTACTAACGCGATAGGTAGATGTACAACATTTTTACTAATGAGTCCGTATGATCGATCTACATAAAATGTCAACGATGTATGACATGTATTTTAATCCAACAAAAATCTTATCCGAGTTAATTCCGAAAACCCAACTTTAATCAGTTAAATATTTTTGATATGAAATTAATGCCAATCTTTGGTAGTTCGAAATATTATTTTGATCCGTCCTTTTAAGTGTCCAATTAAGTCCGATCTCATGAATATGTTAAATAATAATTTCACTTTGTGCTAGATAGTTAGACAAATTCAAACTATATTAATTATATATTTCAAATCAATTAATTGACTAATATTGACCCTAAATCCCATTTTGTTTTCCTTATTGAATATTAAATTTTTGAAAATTTCCCCAGTATATTTTAATTATCATGATAAAAAAATCCGTACAAATTCACCTAAACATTTAATAATGTACTTGAAATTTTGAAAATACTGAAGCGTTGCGAAATTAAAGAAATTATTAAACTTTTATGAAATACAATTTTTTTTTTTAAGTATTCTATCTTCATATTTTGGATTACAATTATTTCCATGAACTAATTAACGAAATCAAACGTTACTACAGCTATTTTTTGTATATAGGTGAATTATATCATTTATACAATTATATCTGTTCGAGTGTAGTAAGTTTTTTGATTTCCTTCTATCATCTCGAGAAAATAATTTGTATAATTTAAAACAATCTAAACTAGTCTATAATAGGAAATTGACGGCAAGTGTATAAAAATAACGATGTCACCACACATCCTATATATTACATTACATATACATTATATACATTACATACATTTTAGTATTTCAATGTTGTAGCAGATATCATCAAAACGGTTTAAGCTTAAATACCTCACTAACTCTTCACGTAATATCATTAAATCGTTTAAACGACCTAAATACGATTTTCGAGTTTATCGTATGCTAGGAATTAATGGAAAAATCATACTTTCGTACACTAGAAAAACACAAAAATAATCACCAGACAATTTAAAAGTAACAATAAAAAATATTGGACCAAAAAAAATTATATTTCAACGTGTATAGGCATAGAATTAAATTGATCAGTATTAAATTACGATATAAGTCGTAGATATTAAATTATTTCATGTATCTGTTATAAATTCTTATAAAACTAACATTTCAGTTTTGGTTTCTTTTCGATTCTTAAAACATGAAAAATTTGTTTCAAGTTTTGCTTGAAACTAACTAACTAACTTTATAAGAAAAATGTTGTTCTGTTTTGATTATTGGAAAAATATAATAAAATATTACCTAGTACTGTTAACTGGCATCAATTATGGCAATTAATACTAATTTTCAACCAGATACCAATAGCTTATGACTAAGGAGAGGACTAAATAAGTAATATATTTTTCCCATCACTCTCACATAATGAAAGACCCTCTTTCAAATAACCTTTTTTTGTTTTTTATATTTTATACATTGATTATTATGTATCATTTTTGAATTACCACTTGTTAGATACATCAGTGTTCAATATTTAAATTTTTTAAATATATATCAATATTTTTATTTTATTACCGCATACTAAATTCGTTAAGGTTAGATTTGTTCGGGAATCTCAGTAGATAGTATATAGGAAAATCGGTTTCACTTTCACAGGATTTTATGCTGATCACTTTAAACATATAATACTATTTTTCTTGTAATTTTTATTGCATTATTATCAGTTGTTACGTGGGAATATTTTATACTCAGACGTCTGAATTCTATAGGTACTTGAATAATTACTTTTAAATTTTATAAATCCTTATAATAATAATATATTTACGTATTTTTCTAGTTCTTATTACCCACTATTGACATATGTATATATATATATATATATAATAAAATAATGAAATTATAAAAAATCATAACTAACCGTAAAAAACTTTTACAAAAAAGTATGGGTTCCGGTTTTCAAATAAATTTAAATTAGGGTTTCGATGAGGTTTTAGTTCCCGATGTTCAAATGGTTCCAGTTCTAAAACCGGTTCTTTTCGGTGTGGTTCGAGTCCCTAATAGTAAGTACGTGTAAAGCGTTCAGTGTATAATATAACATATAGTATATAAATATAACATATTGACTTCCATTGGAAACCGTGTGAAATACGTCGTTTTGTTTCCTCTTTTTTCGCACCATTCGATTGTTATTTTTATTATTTGCGCACACTCACATCAACGAACTTTGATGTACACGAATAAAATATGTAAAAAAAAAAAATAATAAATAAATAATTTATTCACTCGTGTGCATCCTGTATTGACCGACGCAGGTCTGACCGCCGCTGTCTTGGTGTCCGTCGAAGGAGCGCCGGCCAGTGACAAGAAGATCGGCATCAGTCACAAGCTGAAGACGACCAGCACGTCGACCACGATCTCACCGTCGCGCAAATGCAAGTCCGAGTGCCCGAACGATTACAATCCGATCTGTGGCTCGGACGGTGCCAAGGTGAACCTGAGCTTCGGCAACAAATGCGTGATGGAGAAGTACAACTGCGAGCACAACACGAGTAAGTCCCGCTGCTATTTGTAAATTAAAATTATAAACTTCCGACGTAGCCGACTTAGGTCTAGGCAAACGATCGACAATCGGAGTTGTACTACGAACGTAGGGGAAACAAATGCATTGGTGAAGATCCGTTAAACGATTGAATTCGATCCAGTTGAACGTACCCGCGCGCGACGCATATCATCAAAGGGCGTGTTCACGCATAATTCGTCCCGCTTGAACCCGACGCACCGAACGCGTTCGCGAGTAAATCGATTTTTTTTCTTTCGCTCTCGATGTTTGATGTAGGTACGCCGAGTTGTCTATGGTGGACATGAATATTTCACGAACCATGACCATTATTCTTTTAACCTTTAGAGTTTGACTACTTAGACTAACCAAGTACTTACATTTTAGATCCAAGCAAAAAAAAAAAATAAACTTTAAATTAAAACTCGTAATGCGCGTTCACACGCTTACAATTAGCATACAAACACAATAACATTTATAATGCATTACATTATACCGACTTTCACTCGGAACTGCCCCCGCGTAATGAATCGTCATTGCTTTTAAATTTAAACAAAAAGAAAACCACTATCAGCATTTATCACGTGTTACCGGACAGAGTAATTTCGAAAAATTATTCTGTTCGGTTCTGCCAACAATGACGACAATTATTTCTATCGTTTACGAATATTACAGTTCAAACCGGTTGAGAACCACGTAAACGTAGGAAATAAAAATGCATTTGTACGTTATGTAGTCGTGCATTTAATTTAATTCGCGCGACCGATTTTCGTACAACGATTGTGGTTTACTTCCGGAAAATATTTATTCTCGTTATGAGGCGTTTTTTCATCACTCTATCGTATAAACGATACTGATTTGACCTTTCTTTCAACGCAGTTGTTGTAGCTAAAAACATTTTTCGAGTCAAACGGCTAACCGTTGACGATTACACGGCCACACGGTTTACGCGGTTATTATCTTAACTAAACGACCATACCGCGGGCGGAGTGCCCATGTACGACAACTCTGACGAGTACCCAGGGTCGGATTTCCGTCGAAGCAAACAAGCAGGCTTGAGAAGGCCCTCGGCTGGTAAGCTCCAATTTCCCGACGGAAACGTGAAAAATAAATGTGATCGCTACAACCTTGAGAATAAACGTGATATAAATTATTTCTTTTCGCCCCGGGCGATAGGGAAATTCAGTCCTTCTTCGACTTTCTTAATTGTCTTGAAGCCCTGAGACTCCAGACGCGCGTCGGAATACGTTGAAACGATGTTAAAATCTTTACCGTATTACACGAGTTCGTACGCGTATTAATAATCGAGGCGTCGCGCGGGATTCGCGGAGCGCGCATCGTAATCGCACCGATTATTCGTATATATATATAATGCGTTACGATTGTTTAATATTTCTAATGGAACCTAATTAAAACGAATTCCTCCGGAGAAGATAAATCATCTTTCCGGTTAAGACTGTCTCGTAAGCTAATCTCGGCGGAAAACGTGCAGTCGTTTTCCATGTTCGGTAAACCACTCGATAGGCGCGCAATCGCACACAGTCGCAGTTAGCATAAAATGTGCGAGTACACGTCGCGGTAGTAACATGATACGACTAACGTCTTCGATACATCAAAAGTATAATATTATCGCGGCGCAGTCGGACAAACGCGTGTTGGTACATCGTCGGCACGTGCCCGTTTTTTATCGGCTTACTACTGACGTTTATCAGTCGTTTTCTGCGCACCGTAGTCGCGAAACGGCGACCGTACGCTTTCCATACGAGACGACCGTGTTCTCTCGGAAAGGCTCAGTGGTCGGTCAATCGCAACGACAGTATCGTTAAGATAAAATTATGTTACCGAATCTCCGCCGACCGTTAAAATGTGTAACAAATTCTACAGAAACATTCCGAAGTAGATACAGCTTATCATTAGAAATAAATTCCTAATTAAATATAATAAATAAAACCAAAAACAATAAACTAGTACAATATTGAAGATTATAGAAGTTTACTATGATGAGTTACTGTCCGGTGTTTATGTAACGAAAATATATTTGGATGCACTATTAACGTTCGGTCCATAAAAAATAATGAAAAATAAAACAAAAAACAACTTTAATTCACAAACTTTGATGCACTAAATGTGTGTATAATTCACAATCGTAATAACTAAATACGTAATATAAAATCTACATTTGGATGGTTATTTCATTTTTAAGCAAAATGAGTTTCGTCTTCATAATTATCAAAATTTCAGTGTGGTATTAATCATTACGTTTGTTACATTATTAAATGGATAACAAATCATCAATTATCATCATTTTCCACCAATATTACATAATTTTTTTATTTTTATTTTTCAAGTGAAATCAGTATAAAAAATCTCTATTTAAATTTGTATACGATAAGATTCTTTATTTGGGTATGGTACGCGTTGAGTAGATAGTGATGATTTCTTAATTTCTTCTCTCAGAACGGGAACCTAGAGTTGAGACACATTAGCCTGATCCCACTCATCCACAACGCTCTTAATATTATATAATACACATGGTTAGGTAAGTAAGTCTTACAAGTTTGATTTATTCGGATTAATTCAAAAAGTCATACTGTTAACAGTGATATAGAATTTACTGAAGTGTCATATCACTTGAGGGCATTCTTGTAGAACGGATGTTTGGAAATAAGATTATCACTAATCTTCCGCGTATTACAAAGCTACGATTAAGTCGGATGTAGATTCCCGTCACATTTATGTGGGAAAAAATTTAAAAATCAATAATAACAATAATGATAATCCGTAATATTCAAGATGTGCACACGGTGCGTCATTATTATTATTATTATTTTTTTATCGATTAAATATTCGTCGCCGGCTAATACGCATCGGATGCACACGTACAATTGTACAATTGTAAATTCCAATCCGTCGCATTAGAAAAATGTCAATACGGTTTTCTCTTACGCCGAACATACTACAGAAACGCTTTTCCCCTCCAGTTGGGTCTGTTTTCGTTTACGTTAAAATTGCTCGTCCTAAACCCAAACTTTTCAAATAGCCTATACCGTGAACAGTAAACTCTTAATACTGTTGGGGTGTTGTTTTGTGATTTAATTCGTTTTTAGGTCAACACCATATGCGTGGTAGTTTAAATCTGATCGAATGAATTGGTCAAACAGTCAAGAACTTAAGTTCCTTATCGCGTTTCCCTACGCCATTTATCCGGTCCCATATGTGCGCTAAGTATTTTATTCCGAACCAAATTCCTTTACGTGCGTACGTATGTGTATATCTCGAAAAAAAAATTAACATTTATTAATTTTAATTTGATTAAATTCATTAAATCAATTTTTCGAAATGTACCTAATTGGTTGAGACTCTCGGTGTCCACTTCGATTTCTTTTGTAATCAGTTCAAAAATATTCATAACGAACAAGTTTTTAAAACTTTGAATCCATATTAAACTGAAGATTTAAAATTAGTGACATGACGTACAAGATTTAGTATTCGGAGAAAACTTTAATGATTAAACTTCTAAGTTCATCAGAACTTTTGATGAGTTGCGTTTTTGAAAATTGATGTATTTTTTTTATTAAAAACTGCCTACAAAAAAACGTTAATTTATTGTTTCAATTTGAACACCATCAAGGTGTTATTTACGGACAAGTACCTAATAATAATATGACATCAATAAAATAAATATCGATAATAACAGTCAAATAGTTTTATTATTAATACGAGTTGAGGTGGCGATTATAGTACAGCTATTAAATGTACACAATATTATCTTCACGAAATTGATTTCCCTCTTTAACATTTTATAATAAAAACAATATAAACGTTTGACGCAACGCATTATAATAAACGGTGATTATGCTGAAAACGTGCGTTATGGCATAAAATTATGACACTGAACTTTAATAATAGAAGTACATATGATACGCATTTATTTCGTTCGACACGCGACTCCATTTAAAATATATTACGTCATTGTTACCCCGGAACGTGTGTAGTGTAACGAGGTTTAGGTGAAATACATTTTATGACCAGTTTTCGTGCAGCAGTTCCCGCTAGTGCTTAAAATCGTATATTCTACACGACACACTTGTTATTTTTACGAAAAATAAAGTTTGTGATACGTTATTATTTTTAAAGTGTATACATAATACAGTTTGTCTTGCGTTATTACCATTTTTTTTTTCTAACATAAGAAAGTTAAAGACATCGGTATAAGCAATTTATAACAAAACAACACATGCCGGAAGACATTTTTTTTTCTATTCAAAATTAAAATCGAAATATACAAGATGATTTACGAATAAAAATGATCTTATTATTTATTTTTACAAAAAAGTTATTTATTTTAACGAAAAAAAAACCGTTGTATATACTTATTTCGCTGTGATTAATGACAAAAGTAATCTAAATCAATATATTTTTACCAACTCGAGATTAACGTTTACGTTTCATTGCAGTGTTAGTTTTTAAAATTAATATTCACATCATAAACACTGATGTAAAGTTCATTATAACTGACGCAGTATTAAGAGAGCTGTAAAGAAATATCCACGAAAAGCCATTTTAGTCCCATCAGTTTCTGAAATTATTTTTTTAGTTATACATTAAACAAGATTAAACAAACTGCAGCATATTTGCATAGTCAAAGACACAACTAAAAATAATATGCAGATATCAATAATATAATATCAATGTTTTTAACTCGTACGTATATTAATGTAACGATCAAAATTATTACTCATACACATATAAAAGTGAAACACGTAAATATTTAAATAAAATAATAAGTTCGTTCAAAATTAATATAATTATCAAACTTAAACTTATCTCGTAATCCTAAATTGTAATTACAGATATGCTTCTAATAGTAATATAAGTAATGTAGTGAATAACTGTAGTAACGCAACTACTCATAAAATTAACTATAAAATATATATGAAGTGTGTTGGTTACTAATTGTTTTAGACATATTTTGTTGGTTTTTATTTTAACCAAGGAATATATTTGTTCGTGCATTTTATTTTTAGTTAAAAATTACAACTCCTGATGATCAAAAATGTCATATTAAGGATTTGGATTTAGGCCAAAGTTAATTTATCAATTATCCATTAATGTATAGAAAACAGAATTATTTTGATTCAATTTTGAACACCTAGCGTCAATTTAAATAAAATCGAATGATATTCTTTCATAAATATTTTAAGAATATTGTCAAAATTTTCAATATTAAAAACGAAAATTGTTCGTTATACTTATATGTTTTTATATTTGTAGTATCACAACAATTACTATTATATTATTTTTATTGTTAAGATTATTTATTATAAACAGTGTACATACAATAGAATTGGAAAACGGAAACACCATCAAACCGTGTGTTTTCTCAACAAAAAAAAAGAACACATAATTCTAAAATCAATTACACCACTGCTCCACTACAGATAATTTAATGAAAAAAAAAAAATAAATCAAAATAAGAAACCGCATGGAAAAACAATAAAACAATTATAATACTACGAACTGAACAAGTTTGTTCTATAAATGTATTTTAGTATGACGTATTAAAAAAACTGTTCGCTGTTTCGCATCACTACGGGTTGAAAATATGTTGGTACAGTAGAACAACGATTATCCTTTCTCCGATTAACCGTCAGACGCCATACTTGCACATTACAATAAAATAAATATTACAATAAAAATTGTGTATGAATAGGTTAATCCGAAACTTTCCGGCAATATCTACTAGATAAGCGATAGATACGAGAACATTTGTATATATATATATATATATATATATATATATTTTATGGGTGAGATATCAACAGTATAAACATTTATGAGATATATACTAACATAAATTGCGATGGTAATCGCATTTTATTTTTGAAAAGTCAGTTAGTTATATATTGCACGTGTGTTCGTTCGCGTGGCTGTGCGGGTTTCTAGTTTCTTTGTGTGCTAATATTTAAAGTTTAAAAACAATTAGTGAAAAACGAAAGCGTGTTGTATTTGATTTATCAAGTATTTTGGATATTATTAAGCGTTTACGAAGGGGAGAAAGTGCAGTAAGAATAGCACCAATTTATAATGTTGGCCTAATCATTGTAAATTATATTAAGAAAAATACCAATAAAATCGAAAGCCATACTGCAAAATTTTGATGGCAACATGACAATCAGGAAAACTATGAAAAATGTATCATTTGAACAACTAGATTCCGTCGTTTGTCAGTAGTTCATTTAAATACGTTCTCGAGGAGTGCCCCTTTCAAGACCTATTCTAACCTAATCTAACCTATCATTCAAGTGAAGGCAATGAATTTCATATAAAATTGAATGGTGAGCATTCCTTTAGTTTTAGCACAGGGTTGGCTTCACAGATTTAAAAATCGTCACGGAACTCACCAATTAGATAATTTTGGTGAAAAAATAAATTCTGATAATAGTAACGTTATAGAGTATAAAAAAACAATTTTTAAACATGATAAAAACCCAAAATTTGGCACGAGAACAGATTTAAAACTGCAACGAAACTGGGCTAAACTGGAAAAAAAACATTGACGACGATGTCTGAAAAAGCAGCTCCAGGTTTTAAAATGCTAAAGGATCGTATAACAATTAGTGTGCGCTCGAATACTTTTAATTAGATTTTTCTCTTAGATTACTTCTACTTGTTGTGGGCAAATCGCAAAAAATCGTACATTTAAACATGTTAACATGAAGGTACTGCCTGTCAGTTACAATTATGGTGACGTAAACAACGCACCGCGAATCGTCCAAGTTGTTTACAATATTGTCAGTGGAT